TTTTATATCTTAAAAAGAATGAGTTTTATGAAGACTCTCTGCAAACTGTGTAAGTGAATTCAAAATCATGACAGATTATGAAGTGTCAGCAGCAAAAGCAGTCTACAGCTTCTCTAGAGTGAGATTCTTAATAAGAGAATCAGTTTAATTGTAGAAAAAGCAGTTCTGATTATTAATCTATCTGTGAAATAGAGAATTGAAAAGAACATATTGAAAATAACTATAATGAGCAAAGCAGCTGTCATGATATTTAAGAAGGAACTGTGTGTAATCTGCAAGACTAATTATTCTTTATCTAGAAAGAATAAATTCAGCTTCATCTCATGAAAAAAGTGTTGAAAAGACTCAAGAAAAGAGTGAGTGAGTGTTGTTAAACTCACTAAGTGATGTATTACAGACTGAAGACAGAGTGAGATGATTAATCTATTCTCACTGTGACATTTCAAGTTCATGATGAAGTTGCTTAACTTCAAACTGTGAGATTAAAAGATCTGAAATATCAGAGTATTCAGATGAGATATTCAAGTTATCAAGATTTAAATGATTCTCATTCTCAATAACTGTTAATTCTTGCTTATCAAGCTCATGAAAAGGAATCTGATCAGAGACATCTTCATTTTCAGATAACTGATTTCAAGCCTCTTTATCAATCACAATGTCCTGATAACTGAAATGGTTTTTACAGAGATAGATTAATCATTGAGCAACAGCTTCTTTGTGAACCATGAAATCTCAGTGAAACTGATATTGTAAGTGAGAATCTGCATTTGAATTTGAAGACTTTAATATAATAATATCAAGATTCTTAGAAAGAAGTGAGAGAGTGTTATAAACACAGTCAGTATCTCTAAGAAAGCTAATAATATAATCTTTATACTTATACTGATGTTCTCTGACTTGATGAACCTTAATGAAGACATGCATGTGTGAAATTAACATCTCTTCAATCTGACTGAGAACAGAGAGATCTGAATCAAGATCACTGAGATCAAGGTTATTCTCTTAAGAGAATAAAAATGACTTATCAGACAGCTGTCTTGAATCAACAGTATAACAATGAGTATAAATATTATCTTGAAGATTCATTCTGAATCAGCAAATTTGACAACAGCTACAGATCTTCATCTGTAAATCTTCAAGTGCATGATGAAATTCCTGCATATACTGTTAATTATCAGAATTAACAGCTGAATCTGTAAGATAAGTAGAACTCTGAGAATTCATTGAAGAGTCTGAGACAATTACAGCCTGTAACTGATCATATTTCTGAAGAATTGTGAGAGCTTCTATATTTAATGTGTTAATTGAGCTTTCAGATCATGTAGAATGCTGAGATATCAAGAGACTACTAACTCTTCTATTAAGTCAATTAATGAACAGATCTGCAGGGCTCTGAGAAACAGAGCTTTGAGAAGTTAAGAGTAAGAAAAATGATGTAAAAGGTGTCTGCAGCAGAAGCATGCCTGTAAAAATGAAATGAGATTGACTTGAGAATGAGTTGAAGAGTGACACAGATAATTGATGAAAGGCTGAAGAGAGATCTACAGAACTGAGAGATGAATTAATTATCAAAGATAACAGCTGCAGCTGTTTTCTCAATTGAGTTAAGAATGAAGTTAATGAGAGATGTTCTCTATGATATCTGATAACACAGTGAGCTCTTTGAATAACAGTTTTCTTTTTACAGACTGCTGTCAATGAAGATGCATCAGAACTATGAATCTCATGATAATAAAACTTAATCTCAGATAACATGTCTATTTCAATAGACTGTTTATAGACTTGAGAGACTGCTGTTAATTACATGAAGTGTTGATGTGTCTGAGATGATGAGAGAAGTTCAGGCTCATTTATCACAGAATCTGTGACTGTAGAAGAATCTGGTTTCACTGCATGTGTTCATTTACAGTTCTACACAGTGTAAAGAGATAATCAGTGATAGAAAAGATGTAATGAGAGAAGATTATAATATCTGAGTTCTCTAAGTGCAGCATTGAAGACAGACAGCTGTAGAAGTAGTAGAACACTGTAAAGAAATGAATTGATCAAGAGACTGGTTTCACAAGCAGTGAATGCAGGCTTTTGACATGTTATTCATTCTTGAGAATCTATGAGAGATGATTGATCAGATGCATTATCTATTCAAGAATCTGTACAGAGTAGATAGTTAATAAGATGCATGATCAATTATTCAAGAATCTGTATTCAAGAATCTGTACAGAGTAGGTAGTTGATGAGATGCATGATCTATTATTCAAGAATCTATACAGAGTAGATGATATGGTTGATGATATGATTGATGAGATGAAAGATGAACGCGTTGTGAGTGTGTAGAAGAAGTCATAGTGCAATGTCATGGGATTGTGCTTCACTTAATTCTACATCAATCAGTGGGCTGTATTCGCGCCAAGAACCCCAAAAAGGAAATTCTCCACTTTTAATGACCAGGGTTTTCATCATATATTTGCTTCGCTTCGCTCCGCAAATAAAAATGTCAATAACTTAGTTAGTTATTATATTAGTAGCTGACTATTACTAGCAACTGGGAAGGAGACGCTGGCGGGCGGGAGAAGGATCAGGATTTATGATCTATTATGATCTATTATTATTATTTAGTTCTCGTCGTCGTCGTCGGGAGGTGTTTTTCTTTTTCTTTTTTTTTTTCTTTTTTTTTTTTCTTTTTCTCCCTCCCTGCAACAACCTTTGTCAAAGCTTGTCCAACGTGACGGTATCTTTTACGATGCAGGTAAGGTAATAATATGCAACCATCCAGGTCACAGAACCAGGCAAAGCACAAGCATGAATCATCAAGCATCAAAAGGACTAGAAAAAGAAAGAGAAAAAGAGAAAAAGATAAAATCGACATGCGGAGGCAAAAAAGAGGGCAGAAAACAGCAACATGCAACCAACCAACCAACCAACCAACTACAGACTGTCTGTTCGCCAACTTTTCTGTGAAAAAGAAATATGCAAGTACAGTACATAAATACCTCCACCCCTTCCATTGTTACACCTTTAACTTACTCCGTCCTCCTGTGTCAATTCAATTCGTGGCCTGGATGATGATTATTATTATTATTATTAACTAGAGGGTATTGGGTCTAGAGTCTGGACATCAGTTTTTCATATATGATCGCCGCTATCGCCAGACATCCGTACAATGTTGCTCGAGGGCCATAAATAATCAATCCCATTCTATTCTACCATTTCTAGTTTATACAACTCACGGAGTTGAAGGAAGGCAAAGCCATGATTATCTATCATTCATTCCGTCAGGTCTGTTCTTCTTTTGAGTGATATTACTATATTACTATATATTATATTATTATATTATCACAAGAACACTTCCCATGTTTCCCATTATTTGTAACCCGGTACCTTAAGTTATGTTTTTTGTATCTCGTCCGTATTCATTATTTCACTCCTGACCAGGTTCCCACATGAGGCTGAATCAATGTCCGATGCTAACTTAACTAATAATTCTAACTAGTTACTACTACAAACTGAGGACCCGTGTAAGTTGGGATGGACTAACTTATACATCAATCTACGCAGCCATAGACAGCGAAACAGAAGTCCCACTGAGGATTGGAAACATGAATCCATGAACTTGCGTCTCCTGAATGTATCTATCCATATACGATGTCCCTTGGGAAGGAGAGGAGGAAAAAAGCGAAAACAAGAGAAGACACAAGCAAAGCAGCCCATGACATTTTAGGCCTATCGAGACCATGCCTCCCTGCCACTAAAAATCAACAGTTCAGACCAGGGCCAGTCCAGTCCAGTCCATCCACTCCCAGTCAGTCACTCAGGGGTAAAGAAAGAAAAGAGGAGTCAAGCAATAACAAAATCCTGCCCTGCCCTACCCTACCCTGGTCTGGCTGGATGCTGTCATCGCTTGGGAGGAGTTACTAGGGTGGTATGGTATGTAGTTTAAAAAGAAGAGGCTGGTGGTACATACATAATAATAATAACTGATCTAACTCCCGGAAACTTTCCCGGAGATTATCAACGGTTGTTTCCTCTCTCTATGTACCCTTTCATTTCTGCTCTCCTTGAAGGGTAGTTAAGGTAGTGGCTATTTTTGGTGCTCGGTTGGTGCTCATGGTACGGAGTACGGAGTACGGCGCTTCTCCTTTCCTGGCGACGCTATGATAAGTTAGCGGAGTACGCTTGCATGAATACAATCACCTCCGAGGAAAGCTCCTGGTAAAAAATCTATTAATGTGCTGGGATCCTTTGAATCCTTCGCTTGCCCGCTAGTTATGTATGTTCGTTCCTCCTTGCTGGTATCTATGCCGACATATCTTGGTTACTTGTATGGTCACGAGAGCCGGAGCCCACTCATGAATACCGTCCCTAGTGGTGTAGTGGCTAACATCGCTGTCTTTCACACAGCAGCCCAGGGTTCGATTCCCTGCTAGGGAGATGCTCTTTTTTATTTTTTATTTTTTATATTTTTTTAATATACTTTATTCTTTCTCGCGCCTTCAAATGTATTATCTATCTCCTGTGCGTGCATCGTGCAAAACTATACGGAGTACATGTGTCTGATTTCGAACTCATTATTATTACGGGGTATTACATATTGCAACTGATAATCCCACTCCACCCAACCACCACGACGGGCAGACCAAGGTCCCGCTCGGAGCTACACACGACTGGGAATACGGGAAAGTACATGTACCTGAAAAGAACCTTATCAAAAAATGAAAATCTCATAACCTCCTTCGATGTGTTTGAGAAGAACATTCCATGGATAGCTGTTGTTAAACCTAGTTACCGATCGCCACACGAACAAACCGATCAACCAATCGGAACTGGCGTCGAACTGGCCCGCCCGAAGCCCCGCCCGAAGCCCCGCCCCAACCCAACCCACATTCTCGGGCTTTTATTAAAGAATCTGATATGTGAGCTTGCTTGCTTGCCTGCAAAAAAAATGGATAGAGATGGTTCTCTCATGCATTCATGCATTATTATTATTATTATAATTATTGAGTCTCTCCTTGCCTGTGAAATGGGGGGCAGCAACATCCCCTCAGCCAGTGCACACGAGTTTTCTGGATTGGGGAGCGACATAGCTATGAACCAGGTCCTGAGAAAAGAGCTCCACGGTGTAATCAACCGTGATGGTGTTCTCTTCATGAACATGAGGGATGCGCGAAAATATCAGCAACAGGTCTCACTCAATAATATTCTATGTTTATTACCCCAGCCGCAGCTGTCTGCCGGAAGGCTTCGGAAACGCCTTGCACACAAGATCGGCCCTCGTCCCACCGTCCACGGTCAAATGGGCATGGCATGCGAAGAGTCGAGAGTTCTTTCTTTGCGGGGCAAGAATTAATTTGTTTCAGGGCAGATGATACCTTATAAAATAGCTACCCCACATTCCTGGGATCGAGTAGTAGAAGTAACTATGTCAGTTATACAACCTTAGGGTACTATAGCCGCTCGGTCGAAACCATCCGTGGTCCATGGAAGCCCTACGATTTGGGTTTGAAGAACCGTTACGTTGCTTAACATGGCCGCCCTTTCAAACACATGGCATCGGGCCGAAGATGAACCTAGGATACGTGTTCGGTGCCCTGGAGCGCAGCAAGAGAGGCTCGGCACCGATTATCAGATTGGATTTTGACTTTCATCATGAACCAGCAAGCATGGCTTGTGGTAGGTAACTAGTTAAATGATGGGGTGTCGTTCAAATTGCTTATCAATATCTAATCTACATACATAGGTACCCGAGAGAGGTTAACTTACCAGTCATTGTACAGCACCGCAAAATGCTGCGTGATTTTTTTTTTTTTTTTTTTTTTTTTTTTTTTTTTTTTCGTCAAGGTTTGGCTGTACGAAAAGCGGCCAATTGGGACACATTCATCTAGACTTTGATGAAACAGTTTTGTATGCTATCGTATATCTTTCTTTCTTTTCTTTGAGCAATCCCTTAAGGGCTACCCTACCCATGTCCCGAATGCTCAAATACGCGTTAAGAGTTATTGGCCTGCCTAAACTTACATCTAGATGTAAGTAAACTTTGTTGACGCAAGCAACTACAAAGACACGCCCGGCAATCGGCAAATAGCCTCAGCGTGATTTGCCACGGACGCTGTATCGATAGTTGATAGCATCGGAGGAAATTCCGGGTAAGTGAAACAATATTGCTTTGAGATGCGGAGTGACGACGCAATGCCTGCCACATGTCGATGCACCTAAAGTTCGAGCTATCTGATCTCGGGAAGGGCGGGTTATCCTCGCTTCCCCACAACGGATGTTACGTGGTATAATATGCTCCCTTCCACCCCCCCCCCCCCCCCCCCGGGGAGTTTGTTTTAATTTTTTTAATCAATCGAAACTCCAACCCAAGGCACCTGTTCCTATACCCTAAAATCCTCTTCTTACCTATGAAAACATAAAGACCTCTCCCTCCTCGAATAAAAGGCCGAAAAGAAAAGCCGCGTCAAACATGAAGCTGCTCGCTCTCACCCTCACCCTGTTCGGAACATCCATGCTCGCCCCAGTCGTGATGGGCGCAGCTGTTGATACGGGACCGGGATTGAACGCGGGACCGAATGCGCCATCGAGTGCACCACCGAATGCACCACCGAATGCGCTGCCGGACGAGGATGGCCCACACCCTCCCCGGCGAGACTGGTGCGCTCCGGGCTTGGTTTGCTACACCGATTGGGATTGTAGGAGGGATCAAGATTGCTCACGTAGGGTGTCAGATTTTAGCCAAATTTTCTGCGGGACCTTCTTCTATCCGCATTCTTGCTGGTATAGGAAGGGTTAGATACAAAGAGACGGGGATCGTCTCGAGAGTGTTGGGAGAGGGTGGTGCTTTATTTTGTTTGGTACTGTGCCCCCTTTGGTTGGAGAAGCAAAAGTTTGGTTTGGCGGGTTGTATATGCACAGAAGTGTTCAGTCGATGGCGTGGGTAAGCGGAGAAAAAGAGACTTGTTTGTCTCTTGTTGTTGTTATCACAATACTAGATAAGACCGGTCCTCCATCCCGTGTATATAAATAAAATTGATACAACATGCTCCTTCGACATAGAGGTAGATAGCTCGCTCTTGAGTAAATAAAAAGGTATCTTTACATCCATGTAGTCAGGGTGAGGCACACTGAACATACCTCAAATCCAGTCAGGTAACTTTAGCATACGCTATACATAATCAAATCAATCAATGCACTGAGACTTTTTGAGTACATGTACCGTACTGTGTGTACAGAGTACATTATTACGCATTATTACGATGAAGTCCCGGTCCGGGTCCCAAGCTCGCGGGCGCCTATACTAAGCGGCGTAAGCGCTTCCATCCCGCGAGCTTGGGCTGAACTTTTGCGACTTCCAGGCAAATTGCACTAGTCTCAAAGTAGTTTGATGCATATTAATTAGTTGAAGTTATAGTGTCACATGACACGTAAATGCGCTTATTAAATTCTTCTCACAGATTTCGTTCTATTAGATAGAGAAGTGATATATAAAATGTTGGAAAAATTATGAGACATGATTACAGTTGGATAGTGTTTTCGTTTCTGTAGGAGCTGGGGGTCTGACTTCGGCACGTAAGCCGTCCCTAGTGGTGTAGTGGCTAACATCGCTGTCTTTCACACAGCAGCCCAGGGTTCGATTCCCTGCTAGGGAGAGTTTAGTTAGTTCTTTTTCGTTCTTTTTTTTTTTCTTTTTTTTTTTTCTTTTTTTTTTTTTTCCTCTCTAACTCGAGCATTTACATACAAGATGCAAAACAACAAAGGCCACTGCGACAGATGCGGTGCCTATAGTTCGTTCTCCTTTTTCTTCCCTTTTTTCATTTCGGGGATTCATTGAGTTACTTACTGTCATCGCTTGTAACTAACTACCTTTATATTGTGATCTCTTGTCAAAATATCGGCTGTGCATGCGCACTGGATGACTCATTCTTTTCCATTCTTATTAACTATTCTTTTGACTTTTTATTCGAGATAGATTTCGCTGGTTCTGGTTATGTATGGTAGGGTAGGCATTTTCTCAAAAGACGCCTTGCCTTGTGTTCCGCAAGGCGAACGTGATGTTCCACAACAACACTACTACTGCAGCTGAATGCGCGTATTTGAAGGCGGCGGATAGGAAAGAAAAAGAATCAATCCCCTCTTCCCAGTCCGTAGTAAATACTTTTAGGATCAATAATGGGTTATAAAAGACTCTTCGTTCTCCGTAAAATATTTATTTCTATATCGAAAATAATTCAACTTTCTCTAGTCATTGATAGTTGAACAGTATACTGATTAGCTGTAATTGGCCCGATCTATCCTTCCTCAATTGGTTGATACATTGCGTGTTATCTACAACGTTTACAATTCCTCCAAAAAACAAAAAACATATATACGGCTTGACTTGGTTCGTTCAAGAAGCTCTCTAGCCGTGAAGGGCGAGGTGCAAGGTCAAAATCAGACACGAGTAAACTCGGAAAATAAAATGTCAACACTCGAACCATCCCAAGATGACAATAGGGGAGCCTCCCCCGAACCCCCCCAACCCCTGCAACATCACCATCAGAACATAGCAGAAGATCTCACACTGCAAGTCGACTTTTCCTGGCGACGATTCAAAAGCCTCATCACCAACAAAGACGACCCGCAAGCATCATCCCCCATCTACATCGTCCATCACAAAGTCACCAAACCGCATCTCACCTTCAAGTCGGCCGCAGACAACACGGCTTTTGCCACAGGCAGTCTCCACACTTTCTCCATCGATGCCGAATGCGAGATTCGCGGGCGCTCCACCACCCTCAAGGCACTCAAGCGCTTCAAGACAGAATACATGTACCGCTCACACACCTTCGCCACCAACGGCGGCGCTGAGCCCGCGTGCTTGACCTGGACCGGCTCCTGCGGCCTCAAGACCTGGGATTATATCTGCCTCGACGAGAAGCAGATGCCCGTGGCGAAGTTTTCGGCAAATATCTGGGCGGTCAAGAAGATCGGGACCATCACTTTTCTGGGATCGAATATCCCTGGCGTCCGCGACACGGGCGCCGTCAGCGACGCGGTGAGGGAGGAGATTGTCGTTACGGCGCTGACGCTGTTCTATTGCATGGTGCTCCGGACTAATAGTGTCCTTTCGTTGTTTGGCGCTGTATTCTCGCGGCCTGGTCATGATGAGAGGGGGGAGGAGGGGAAGGAGGGTGGAAAGTCGAAGGTGGCTGATTCGGAGTAATAGCCGCGTTAATAGTGAATGTAGTAACGATCATTGCTCGGTTGATTTGTGAAGCACGGTTCGAAATGTACCAGGGAAATAGGGGTGGAGTTCAGGTTTGAGGGGGCTGAAAGGGGGTCATGTTAGTGGCATTCCGATCCGGCGTTTGGGGAAGCTGCCTTATCAGCTGGGCCATATTGGCGAAGAAGTACCTCAGAAGGTGGTATATTTTATGGACAAGAGATATGTCATTCCAGTGTTCTGTCCAATTAGTAAAACCATTTCACAAAAATCCACAGGTGAAAAGGCATGTTTCAGGCTGCTTTATCTTCCAAAAAACATGTTGTAGCGAAGTGTCATGTTGCTGTGACTCCTGTCCAAGTATTTCCCACTACGGCATGAATCTTGTTGGCAGTTGTCCATCAAGTTGCTCTCAAACCATTTGATCCTGGAATGTATGCCACTCCGTTTTGCATCCTAGAGTGATTGACATTTTCGTGTTCGATTTGACGGGGAGTAGTCTATGCTTGAAACACGGAGCATGCACAATCACGTTCATGCTCAATCCAAATTCCGATTTTGAGCCTTCGGATTCTTACCAATCGCCTTTCTCGAGGAGGATGTGCCCTAGGTAATCGGAGTCGACTCACACTCCTGATAGAAAGAGTAGATCTGATCTATCTTGTTTTGAATCCATTCAACCTGCCCTTCGCGCAAGATAAACCCCTGACTCACAACGAAGGTAAGGTAGGGCAACAGGGTCCACGTTTCCGTCACCATCCTAAGTCGATACCGAAGCACACGGTCGGGCGACTGAAGAGCTACACCGAAATCGTGGAAAGTCTGGTAATCATCCGACTTATATAGCTTGAGCGTAGCGCAGATGCCATCAGCGAGGTCCTGAATAGTCGCTCTTGATGACTCAAGTTGTGCGCTTAGCTCCAGCTGGTCGAGTTGGGATATGCAGCCCGCAATCACGTATTGTGCCATGAGCCGTGATGTGCGGTAACGGTTCAATATGTGGGCAAAGGACTCCTTTTTCGTGAGGTCATCGTGGCCCTCGCCCAGGAATATCGGCTCGTCGCTACTGGGAGACGAGCTGACCCTTCCTGGGAAACATATTTCGGATAGCGAAACAAGCCAGTTATGGATATCGTTGTCGACCACGAGTGCTTGTTGTAGGAGCCGGAGAATATCATCCCTTTTCGCAGTGGCAGGGCGAAGCCTTTTGAAAAGGTTCTGTAGATCCAGTGCCCTTGACGCTAGGGAGATCAATAGCGTCAAAGGATGGTGATCAAAGGGTAGTAGCAAGTTATCGGTTACGACATTTACCGTTGGTTCCCCATTCCATATGGACATTGCCATCTGGTTTCTCATTAGATTGTGATTCTGGCCGCTTGAGAAGTTTTTAAGGGGCCGAGGCAGACTTACAAGCTCAACTCGAGCTGTGTTCGTCAAATCGACAGATAACCTATTTATAGCATTCCTCTGGCTACGGAGTTGAACCAAAGCTGCCGCACCGCGCGCATGTATTGATTCTGGCTGCTTCGCTTGTTTAACTGCTTGCAGTACCTGATAGAGTCCGTGTGAGTAGGAAAATAGGAAATATCATGGATGATTCTGCTGAGATCACATTTTGGCTTGGTTCCGGTAAGGCGTCTCGAATTGGGGGAGAGAAAGAGGGAGGCGTACTTCGTATATCCTCAGCAGTAATATGCCGATAAGTGTTTCGTCATTCTCTCTTGTTGTTTCATCTTCAAGTGCCTTCCTCACTGCCGAAATGGCTCTGTAAAAGTACATATCTCCAAGCCACTTCTCCCTAGGTGAGCCACATAGCGAACCGACAGCGGAGCACGCAACCGATAAGGTAGAAAGATAGATGACAGAGTTTGGACTTGACTTTAAAAATGCAGAAGGGAAGAAATCCAAATATGCTGTACGCACCCGTGCATCGTCCGGACTATGGAAAATAGAAAAGAAAAATTGAACGGCAAGCTGTTCCGCTGGGAAACTTAGATGGTTAGGAATTTGTTGGTATTCATGGAGTGAATTAAATTGCTTGGTAGTGATCTCTGTTGAGACCCGGGGTGCCACATCTGAAGACTGAACATGAATAGGGCTGTAGGAGGTTTGATCTTTAACAGTCATCTTCAGTGGATAGCCTGGGCATTTCCACCCACTCCGAACGCACCGATAGCATTGAGGAGTTCTTTCATCGCACTAAGGCCAGTTCAGCGTTCTTTCCCGGATAGGAATCAGTCTCTCTGGATACGCACCTTTATGCGCCGTTTCTTACAATTGCCGCATCCACGGCGGCTTTTTATTCCAGGTACCATCATTCTCAGGTAGCAAGCCTGCAAGAAAATGTAGTTAAAGTTCTGTTTCGAAAAAGAGAATTACAATAACTCTATGGGTAACTAGGTTAGTTCCTATCACACTGCACATTGCCGACGAGATGTCGATGAGAGTGCGATCAATTCCTGGTATGATGTTAGCTTCCACGACCCCTGGTTCCGTTTTGTATGACGATGGCTCCCCCACACCGATAACGGGCCATGCCATGCTCACCAATGGACTTGTGGAGATTTTGACTCTTCAGCTTGGCATCTAAGCTCCTTCTGGGATGTAGTGCGATCTAGCCAATCGCCGTGCGGGCGCGTTTAGAGTCAAACAGTCGTCCACGACGTCTGGAGGGTCATTAATAATAATCATGAGCCCAAGAGCCCTAGGCTTCAGGCTCTATGCCGCATTGCACTGCGTTTTCCAATGTCGTCTATTCCCTCGCTTCGAAGTGATGTTGCATAGCAGACCAACTAGTCAGTTATGCCAGGCGGATCCGGATATGTGACCGACCATCATTTCGTCTCATATATAAATGTGTAGAGAGCCCACTACGAGCACCGCTCGGCTGGTGGCTTTTAGCTGTCATGTACATGTACACATTCAGTTCTAGAATCAAATGCTCATGGCTGTCCAATTTAGTGATGAAATGGCGGCGAGAGCCAGGGCTCTCTGTACAGAGATAACTCCGCAATGCCCTGTTGAGTTCACCACACTAGGGTACTTCCCAAACTTAGGCGCAAACAGCTTTTTCTGTGCTTGTTTCGGGGTTTTCTTCTTTGTCGCCCTCGTGGTAGGAGTGTGGAAGAAGACATGGACATTCACCTTTGCTGTTACGGGAGCATGCGCGTTAGAATCCGTCGGTATGTTTAATTTTGCGCATGTACAGTATGGTATGGGCCTGTTGTCTCTAACATCCACTTTTGCTCTCTAGGGTATGCAGGCAGGGTTTTGATATACCAAAATCCGTGGGGGACAGGGTTCACCCTACAAATCATCACCATCATCCTTGGGCCAACGTTCCTCTGTGCTGCTATCTACCTGACCCTAAAACACGTCGCTCTGGCCGTGGGCCGTGAGATATCCCGCATACCGCCTTATCTGTACACATGGATCTTTATCCCATGTGATATTCTCTGCCTTGTCCTGCAAGGGATTGGCGGCGGCGTGGCCGCAAGTGGCGACCAGAAGAAAGATAAGGGCCTCCTGGATAACGGAAATCGCATAATCATGGCAGGCATCGGTCTTCAGGTTGCCGTACTCTCGCTTTTTGGAACGGCCGCCCTGGACTACTATTGGCGCGTATCCCGTTATCATCGCAAATTGCTGGCCACCGATGAGGAACGAGCGGCATGGAGGGATAGGAAGTTCCACATTTTTGCTGGTGCTGTGTCCATGGCCTATCTAACCATCTACTCCAGATGCGTATACCGGTGAGTAGATTAATGCTGTGTTTCCATTTTCTCGAGTGCGACAGAGACACTGACTGTGAACAGTATTGCAGAGATGGCTGGAGGTTGGGGGTGAGTACTCACAAAAAGTGGCATAGAAATGTCTGTGCTGGTGCTAACAGAGCTCCAGAAATCCCATTATGCGAGACGAACCCTCATTCATTGCTATGGAATCAGTGTATGTTCCCCCTTCGCCCTCCCTCCTTATTTTTCGTATCATGAAGGGCCGCGTTTGTGTGTCCAAATCGGAAATTGGAAGCCAACTAAAAATCGTCATCATTGCGCATTGCGATAGGATGATCCTAATTGCCGCCGGCTTGCTCTCCTGCTTCCCTGCAGGCATTTTGTTTCCGCGCATGAGCACACAGCTAAGAACCCCAAAGGCTTAGAAATACCATTTTAAAGAACACCACAACAGCACACGCTTTTCGGTATTGTAATAAAGTCGGTCCTGTGGATCAAGGGGGATCCAGAAAGCCTTGGTTTACGATGTCTTCAACCCGCAACGACCTGGAACGGCCAGAGTATTATGTGTTTTAGTGGGTGCGCATTCGATTCGAGCGTCTTGAGAAGAAAGGAGGAGGAGTATTTTTTTTCCACGGAGGCGGACAATATCGATAGGGAGTAAGTAACTTTTGGTATCAACGAACTATAACGCGACATATTGAAGAGCGCGGGGAAGAAAGAGGTTTGTTTGTTGAACGGTTTCTGAGGTTGGTACATGTACAAGAGGGGGGAGACGTGAGGGGTCAGTCACGTACATGGCGTTGACGTGAGATGAATGTCTACATTTATTTGTGTCGCCAAGTGCCATGATGTATGTACATATAAAAAAAATAATGGTGCCATAAGAGGAATATAATAAATTAAGGGACCTTTTTCTCTCCTTTTTATCTCCAGCCAGGACCAGCCTTCTTTCCCCTTTCTTTCCTTTCCTCCTTTTTTTCTTTTTCTTTTACAAGAGCAATAAAAAACTAATACAATAATTCACAGGAAAAGCCGAAAAAAAAGAGAAAAAAAAAAAGAAAAAAAAAGAAAAAATACAGAAAAAATACAGAAAAAATGGGGGGTAGCTAGTCTGAGGAGAAATGAAAAATGCTACGAAGATTTTAAAACAAAGGCAAAATGTAAAAGGGGGTATTAACAAAAATAAAAATAAAAAAGAGAGAGAGAGACAAAGGAAATAGAGATAGAAAACATAAAAAAAAAAAAAAAAAAGATAACACGACATCAGGAATAATGCGTGGAGAGACATGATGAGATACGAAATTGAAAGAAGATGCCAGAAAAATAATCGGAAAAAGGAAAAAGGAAACAGGAAAAAGACATGAAAGGGAGAACTAGAGACGGATTATCAATCGAAAATGTGAGGAGAGCGTTCAACGTAATCGCGAAAAGGCTAGGTAGGGGGTAGATCGATATTAGTCGGAGGGGTATGGCACATAAAAAAAAAAAAAATATAAGATAGACAGGTCTTTAGAAGGTGTAAGAAATGGGGATCTTTTTAAAGAAAATTTAGATATTAAAAAATTGAGGTATAACGCAAAAAGGGATGGAAATTGAGTATACGTTTGGGGGAGAGGGGTGGAAGATATAAATATTACGAGATGAGAGGGTGTTAGAAAACAAAAAATCCAGAACAAGTTTCAGGCAAAAAATTCACACTTCATTAGTTTCTTTCCCTTATTGCCCTTTTTCCCACGTTACCCCCTTCTCTTGGAAAGGCGGGGAACACGGCAAATCGTGGGTGGAGATTGGGTAGCCGGCGGCAAGAAAAGAGATTACGAGGGGATCAAAATGTCAAAATATCGGGGATTGGTCAGATCAAATGCCTTTGGAGCAAAGTAAAGTAAATTAGATAGAGGCATAGAAAGGTAAGTCGGTGGCGGCGGCGGCGGTGATAGGAGGGAAAGTGTTTGCATAAAAAAAGCGAAGCAAGCACTCAAAGAAAATAGTAATAAATTTGTTTCTTTTTTCAGTGTCTGTTAGTCACTGTTCCCCGTCGACCCCCCTCCCTCCTCCCCTGGACAACAGTCGTCCAATCCTCCCACTCCTTCGCAACCTCCATCATCACATTCCCCATAACAAGCGCGGAAGCCATAAGCCCATGGCCCTCTCCTTCGAGCACCCGCACCTCACACCGCCGCATCGTCTTGCCCAGCCACCGCACGTTGTCAACGGGGACCCGCGTGTCCCTTGTACCGTGGTGAATAACTACGGCGCGGTTGATGTCGACGTAGCGGAATCCTATTGTCTGGCGCCGTTCGAGGCAGACGAGCAGATCGACGGCTGGGTTCGCGTTGGTGGTGGCTAGTTCCCAGATGGCGTGGGTGAGGCGGTTGTCGTAATCTGACTGGCGCTCCTTGTCGATGGCGGCCGCTGCGGCGATGATGGCGGACTCTGCCTTAGGATCTGATGGGTTCGCGGTCACGCGGGAGACAACTTCTTGGGAATCACGTTTGGTTGGGCCGCGAGGCATGGATACGGAACTCCGGCGTTGTTGTGAAATGAAATTATTGAAGCCGGCATCGCTGGTGCCGGCTATGGTTGTGCTGCGGCGTTTGGTCCGCCTTGAGTTTTTGGGCAGGCTGCTGGTGATGCTCGCGCTGGTTGTTGTCATGAAACTGGAATTGGCGACTTTGAGGAAGGGGGTGGGTAAGGCACGAAGGATTCTCTGGGAGTATGGAACGGCGCTGGCTGGAAGGGGTTCTTTGTGAGAACCCATGCTGGTCATCTGAGATGGAGGTATCCATGGAGCAAGTAGATGTAGCCGTCCTCGGATATGTTGCGGCATTCGCAACGCGGTCGCAAGAGCATATATCGCCCCAGCGGAATGGGCCATCATAGAGAATTTTGTGATTTTAAGGAAATTGCAAATAATGGCGACGTCATCTATCAATAATTTAGCACAAGCACTTTCTCCGTAAACATAGAGAGTGTGCAAAGAAATGTAGGAGGAAAATGGAATGAGTCAATCATACCTGGCCAGCTAAGTGGCGTCCCCGATCCATCAACACAGGGCTCACTCTCCCCAACACCAGGTCGATCTGGCGTGATTAACCTTAATTTCAGCGTCCGAGCCAGCTCGTCGTAAAAGGCAGTTAAATATCTCGTTAAACCCATGCCCACGCAGCAGAATACCACATGGCCTTTCGGGTCACCAACTTCTGAGAACGCAATTACTCGTCCCGTATGTGGATGTCTGACCTTCTGAGTCAGTCTCCGAGATGATAGATAGTCGTGAACAGCATCGTCAATGGAATCCGAACTGGACGGCCGGTCTTCCTGCCCTAGAGACAAACGAGGGCCGGGCGATACTGCGCCTGACAATGTCCGTCGGTGGTTTGATTCTGAATTACTGTTCTGCGTCGACTTTCGCCGTAGCACGCCTGATTCATTGCGATCGGGCTTTTCGAATGATTGCTTCCCTGATGCAGGCTGGATATTCGTAGTTTTCAAGGAGAGAGGTCCGCTGTTGCGTTTTTGGGTTACGTGTGATTTCCGTGTGAGAATAGCGGGTGAGGGTGCACTTTCATGTTGCGTCTCATCAACTTCTTTTAGTGGCTGGTCGGACACTGTATGAACAGATTGTCGGACCAAAACTGTTTCTTTTGTTACCGTCGTCTGCTGAGTTGCTGGCTGTTTGGGGCTCGGCCTGGGTGTCCGGGACTGCGGATTGCCTTCTGGCGTTCCGTCCGTCTGCAATTCGTCCTTAATCTTCTTCTGCTGCTCCTTGAGCTCTTGTATCCGTTTCGAAACTTGATCGTCTTCCGCATTTACCTCCGCGATATCACGATCAATAGTAAAATCCCGATTCGAATACACGCTATGGCGACCTGAGCGACGTTTTTTATTTGAATTCCCATGGTAGCTGTGGCGCAAAGAGGATTCGCGAGTGGGAATGACTCTGCCGCTTCCAATTCCACCAGGACTACCATTGCCTGTGTCAGGAATTGACCTCTGTGTACCAAGGGTTGGAGCAGACTCGCGACGATTGTCCTCATTTAATTGTTTCTCGAGCAACTGGAAAACACCGTTGTTCAGACTCACTTCTTCCGCCAAATCAGCCATTGAAGGGGTAGAACGCAAGCTTAGCCGGCTACGCGAGCTGTTCAATCTCCCATCTCCTCCCTTATGAAATCGATCACTGTCCTTATCCTTGGGAAACTCCCTCGAGGCCCTCTTCAGGATATTAAGCTGATGCTTCAAACTTCTTCGACCGCCACTGCTGGAAGAGGCGATACTTGCGGTAGACATTCGAGGGCCTGGTTCCAAACTGGGCACGCCAAAACCTAACCCATCCTCTGGGCCGGTAATTGAGGAAGCCATCGAGGCTCTAGAGCCTGATCGCATCGGTGAGGTATCGCCAGGAGGACTGCGAGGGGAGCAAGGAGACCGCGGTGAACGGGGGGATGCGGGAGCCTTTGCCATTCGTACGACGGGGGAGATCGCCGCATCGTCTGGGTGTAAAAACGAATTTTCCTCCTCGTCGACTACAGGCTTGTTGTAGGCGCCATAATCCATTCCAAAACCTGGGGTGGTAGGCACATTTGCATCCCAGCCATCGCGGGGAAACTCCGTCTGCCGGAAACCAGGGGACGAGGGAGCGGTGCGAGGGCCGATTTCGGGAAAATTATCGAAGTGAGACTGGGCTGGCGTTGAAATGGCGGAGAGGGACGAGATCAGGGACGAGATCACTTCAGGAGAGGCTGGTGGGATGTGCTTGTGGGCAGAGGCATTGGCAGACCGAGCGGGCAGACTTTTTCGGCGGTGGGCAAGGTCTGCCTGGGAGTCTGCTCGATGCTGAGAGCCCATTGTGTCTTTCATGGCTGCAGGATTTGCATAAATGCTGCGAACGACAGTAGGTTACAGGGCATGCGTCTGTGAAGCGCAGTCACGAAATCGCAGGGCTCAGGAGAATTTGGATGCGATCACTTTCTTCAGCAGACGCTAACATGCTCTAGTTCCGTATTGACGGGTTATTCCCCCCCCCCTATTTTTCGCCCTTGTAGGTACTGACGGATTAATGGAGGCGGCTCAAAGAATCCCAAGTTATTATCAATGTAGACAATTAAGAACAATCAAAATTTTAGCAATTCGTAGTAGTCGTTGCATGGGCGATTGGTCGCAGTAGTTATGCAGGAGGAGGACGTGGTATGATCTCACGACGATAAGGAGAACTCGAACTGGGGTTCTAAAAAAAATCCGAGGCGAAAAAAAAAACAAATGCTGATCCCGTGCTGGTTTATTTAGCTCCCTTTTCGTTTCTTTTTCCTGCGCTTCCTTGTTGCCAGTCGTTTTCCTTTCCTGGCCCGGGGTCAGCAAAGAATGAGTCTGCACATCGGTAGGACCTTTAGGCCCAATCAAGAAATCGAGATATGCAGGGACTCTATCTGTGCCAGGACTGGCTCAGGGAGATGCAACCCCAGCATCAGGATATTCTCAACAGACTGATCTCGAGCAAGATGACTGGTAGTGGGGGTCGTAGGCTAGCAAAAAGCAACGACTGCCCAGACGGCGCGATTATGTTTGGACAAAGCGAGATTGAGCCGAGATGGAGGAGCAGGCGACGAGGGCAATAAATACGACCACTGATAGGAGGGACGGACAAACCTATTTACGCCACCAGCTAGATTTGAATATCTCAGCCTACAGAATCCGGAGTCCAGAGAGCTGGGAAGCAATGCGCCGGGGTTGTATGGAGTAGTAATAACTATTTTATTATATCGAACAATGTGTCCCAGCTTGTGTAAACAACACGTCGTCTGCTGACATAAACGCGTCTCCCTACATTCCTCATCCATCTTCAACCATCAACTAACTCTCCATGCTCAGAATGCCTCTATAGCCCCTATAAATCCCAAGTCTCAGTGTGGAAAGGAGTCATCTCCTCATATGTGAGATATTATCTACAGCCAACCAGCCAGTATGTCTCTGGGCAGAAAAAACCCCATATTGCATGCAATCTTGACATTCTGTACTCCGTATTTCATCATCTACTCCGTCGAATACTTATGGCGAAGAACTGTACAGGTTTCGCCCTTCTCCGGCTTCTTATGTCTCTCCTCCCAATTACCACGCTTTTTTTCTCTTTTAATACGCCAATTCGCATTTTCATTTATTCTGCTAGGTATCGATAATTGCGCGCCTGCGTGTAATGCATTTATTTGCTGTATTCGATGGGTCTGCGCCGTTGTCTATTTATATTGACACAATGACCCAACTATAACAAGAAACCTTGGATCTTGGATTTTCGGCCTGGTCCATTGGTTTCCTTTAACTATTCTATTTACTCCCGTTTGGCCGTTTGGGTTACCACCATGGAAGTACAACTAGACATGGGATTATGTACTGACAAGAACGACCCGGCCTTATATACAATAGAAACTCCGACAGCGTATGTAGTTAGGATACATGAATGAGATTTTGTAAGTTGCATGCTTGATTTATTTTAACACACCCCTGACCACTGACGCCATCTAGAGAGGCCCGTCCGAGAAATGGACAAATCGAGGATATCATCGAGGCGACGGGTTTTGTCACATTGAGGGTTTCATACTGAGTATATACAGCCAAAATCAGCTATAGTTACTCAAAACTCCTGTGCCATCTCAAACATGGCCCCCTTGAAATTGTCAAATTTGGCTTTAATCTTCGCAAATAATGAAAGCCGAATATCTATATCGGGTTTCCCCGTGGCTTCCGACGCCCGCGTGAAACTCGAATATTGCATCCCGTGTACAACCTCCTCAAACGGACCAGTTTGTCCGCACATTATTGGATTCTTGTATCTCACAATGACTCCCCGTTCCTGACTCCAGAATGCATGACCCTTCATTTACCAGGCTTACTTACGTATTTATTAATGATGTCAATATCTGTCTCGGAATCTTATTTAGTACACGGACCCCGCGAAGCCCCCAAGGTTACCCTAGTGGGTCGTGCGGATTCCCGCTGGAGACCATTGTCAGACCACCCCAGCTACTTTCGGCTTACGAGGGCAGTCGGGAATACAGGTATCAATCACTTTTTGCTCACTATAAAGAAGGATCCCAGTTCTGATTGGTGACTGGAGTTGAGTGCGATTTGAATGGGGCGGCTGCTGGTCTTGTACGTGCGCGTGTACGGTATAGAAACAGCAAAGGCAAATCGTGTAGACGTGATAGAAATACTGTGTAACTATATGCGCTTTGAGGTCCTTTCCATTATCAGTGCCTTAAAAAATATGGCTTGTATGATTTACTTTGGTGATGGCATAATTGACTCCAGCGCATGTAGAGAATGCTTGAGCACATCATAATGTAGAAGAATGTAGACATGTACTCTACTCTATAGCACAATCATAAGTTCTTTAATGTATTTCCCAGATGATATAACAGTGACATTGGTGTGGAAGAAATGGACTAGTGCGTGCGTTTAAGACTGCGATCCCCAACGTCCATCACATCTTGCATATTTAATTCCACGTCACAGCTCTTCCAAACGGACCCGATCCTCAACATTTCCGCATCTACACCGCCGTAGGAGCACAGCTCGGCCCTATTACAAAATACTTCTGACAAAGTACCTATCTGTTCTGAGTTAGGAACGTCGATGGTCTCGGAAATGTATTCATTGGCTATCACCCATCCTGCGCCATAAACCGCTCCCACACCCGCCTGGAGCAATGGACGCTTACCCGCCAGACTACGTTGACCACAACCTCCCACTCATCCTCCTGTCTGGTGTTGGATCTGACCCTGAGCCTGATGCTCAGGAAAAGATTATCCCAGTCGATGGTGCTGAGTACCCTCATCTGGGGGAAGGCGGCGTCCAGATATTTTCTGATTTTCCCCTCCTGACCGATTCCACGGCGGAGAGGGTGTTGAATGCTCTCCTTAGCCAGGATGCGACGCGCAGACCATGGAATTCTAAAAATGATGGAGCGAGGGCGGGGGCTGTTGGGTATAAAATTAAGAGGGTTGGGCGGGTAGGTCAGCGCTCCTTGGGCGATTTATATGTTGTCCCGCCTATGCCAATGTGCAAGCATGTGCTACACTTCATTCTGGTGGACTTTGATGCCTCTGGCTTACCTTGCATGAAATCCAATTATGAAGACCTTGCGGCATACTGACTACATGATATAGACTTATACTCTCCCTCCCCGTAAAGGTCCCGCTATTCCCAAATCGCCCCCACCGAGCAACGTTTCCGGCAGGCCAAGTAATCATACAGCTTCTCCCGCCATGCTTCACTCACCGATATCTCCTCTGACACCAAGTTCCCCAACATTTCCTGATGGAATCATGACACCGTTGTGGGTCATGAAGCACCAGGCATTGGTCCCCGCAGCCTTTGTCAACTTCTTCCCATTCACGACCGATTCCAACATGGCCTCCCTTGGTGATAATCAGTTGAAGATAGAAATTAATAGTTTACGGAAGCAATGGGCGGCATCCGGATACAAGACACGATTCATTGTTGCTTTGCTTTGTGAAGATGGACCGTTACCAGAAGACGCAAATGATCGGATCGCTAGCATCAGGGTGGCGACAAACCTGGATCCGAAAAGTATTTTCGTTCTCCAACCCGAGCCATCGCAGTTAGATATTAGTGAATTTATCAAATCTCTCTTCGTCAATCTGCAAAGCCCAAGTGTTGAGTACTATAGAGATCTCTCGAAACATGCTAGGCGGAAGAAAAACCGAGGCACCATCCCTCCACCAACTGCACCACCTACCAGCGGGACCTCACAAACTCTGCCGCTCCAGGGCTGGAATGTTCGGTATGACTTTAAACTGGGCGCCTTTGCTGAATTTCGTCAGGAAATGGACGCTGCGTGTCGAAGTTACGAGGCTGCTTATGAGGGGCTCTTTGGCGAAGAAGTGTTCGAGATGATTGCTGGATGGAGCCCTAGGTTTAACGATGCCAGAATGCTTGCGGACATTCTCGCTATTCGGATCATTCGTTGTTTGTTATGGACTGAACAGACTTCATCCGCAGTCCACATATGGATAAACCACAAGAATCGCGTCAAAGACATTGTAGATCGTCGAGGTAAAGGGACGAATAATTACGGGTGGGAGGCATGGGAAGCCAGATGGTCTCTGGTGATGGCACAAATTATGCATCAGGCGGAAATATCATCACTAATAGTTCCCGATCTTCTGGGGTCGGTACCTGATCTCCACAAAACAATATACGCCATGCCCGAGAAAGCAGTTCCCATTGGTGGGAGAATACGTCCATGGGAGTACCTCCACCATGAGGGCTACTGGCTGCGCTGCGCTGCCCAACACACCGAGCGTAGGAGACAGCTTGCAGAGAATATTCCGGATGAGGACCGGGTGGCTTCCACCCAACCTACTAGCTCGTCATCACTGAGTCGAACTACCGTCTACGACACCTATCTTTCTCCTGAACCTTACAATGAATACCCCATGTCTGACCATCCAGGGCTCACTCATTCTAAGTTAATTATCAGTTTTCTTGAATCATCAATAGAGGAGTTCTCCAAAAGGCAACAAAACCGCATGGTAGAACAGCTAAAGCTAAAGATGGCGAAGGAGCATATGAGAATTGGACAATGGAAGGATGCATTGGCTATCCTACGACCTCTATGGCCGCAGCTATCATGGCGGCGGAATGGCTGGTGGAAGCTAATGGAAGATTTTGCCTGGACATTGCGGGAATGTGCTTTTCAGGCCGAAGATAGAGAAACCGTTTTGAGAGCAGATTGGGAGCTAATGAACCATAGTAAGATCCTCCTTCCTCACTCAATTTGGATCGGTTTTCCAAGTTTGCTAATTTTACTTTACTTTCTGATTTTAGCTTTCGCCGTGCGGCAAGGGTGGTGTTACGATATCCATAAAAGTATCGAAAAGTTGCCACCAGTGAAACCGAAACCGGTTGTGATTCTTAAAGGGGAAGATTCGGTTTCATGTCGTACGCTCCCCCATGCCCTAGCGTTGTTTTGGAATCAGAATACTGAGCTAATCATTTGTTGAATTTCTGCTCATAGTTGCGGCCTCTTTTGTCTTCGCGAAATCAGAAGGCAATGTGGGAGAGCCTCTACAATCCCAGCTTGTTATCAGGTCGTGTGCGCAGGCTGGATCGTCGCCAATTCGCTTGACGGAGGTAAAAGTTGTTTTTGAAGGCAGCATTCGGCCTATCAAGCTTCTACCGAGCGAGGACGCCATGTCGAGCTCTTCTACCAGTTGTGAGATTATATCCGTTCCGTTACAAGATTCTGCAAAGGTGGACGCTTCTTCCGTGCGATCACCAACTGCTGGGTTGTCCTTGATGGCCGGGTTCACCAACCTCTCATTTAACCCGAAGCAGACACGGGCGTTCAACCTTGTGTCGGTGCCACGAGAACCAGGCGAGGCACGAGTGGCGTCAATTACATTACGAATCGAGGAAGAAAATTTCGATCTGGCCTGCATTATTAGTGAACAGAACCGAGAGGAGTCAGTCTGGTGGAGAATGGGGAAGCAAGGGCCCATTTCCCGAAGGACAGGAAAGGATAGGGATACTTCAGTGGCACAGATCTTGCCGAAACCTCCGAAAGTCCGCATCACGACGCCCAATTTACGGAATCACTATTACACGGATGAGAAGGTCGTGTTTGACGTCCAGATTGATAATGACGAAGACGAGGCAGCTGGGATTGATGTTGAGATGAAACTGTTTGGGCATACTGGAACCTCGGCGACGTTTTCATGGATTAATGAGACGGCTGCTGACTCAGAAGCATCTGAGGATGCAGGCTCGAGCACCCCCAGTACCCCTATTGAGGGTGACTCCTCGGCCCTGTCAAAACAATGTACAGTTGGGACATTGGGGCGTGGAGCCAGTCGCACCCTTTCAGTGTTGTTCACAAATACAACCCAACCGCTAGATTATGAGGTTGAAATATCCGCCTTCTACCACTTGGTTTCCGATATTGAAACTCAAATATTCAAAACCGTGTCCTTGGACTTATCCTTCATCAGACCATTCGAGGCAAATTATGAATTCTTACCTCGCATCCATCCGGCACCGTGTCCAGATTTCTTCCATTGTGATGATTCAGCATCGGAAGATAGCGAAGCGAAGGAACAGAAACTCAATGGCCTTCAGCAACTGTGGTGCCTAAACTCGAAAATGGTGTCATTTGCTTTAGAACCACTTATCATCGAAGAAGTCAACGTGACACTACTTGGGATCACGGCTGGCAATGTTTGTAAAATCGGCCCGGAAACTCTCAAAAGCCCTGAAACTCCTACAATTGGACCTGAAGAGCTTCGAGAATCCGAATTCGCCATTGAAATCCAACGGCATGCGCTTGATGACCGGCAAGCGTCGACGCTAAACCTTTCACTGGATATACGATGGCGCCGACCCGACGATGACGACGGTGGTCCGCAATCCTCATCAACAACATCAACACTTCCGATCCCCCGCTTCCTCCTCCCTCTCGGCGAACCGCGTGTCCTCGCTAGCGCAACACCCTCCCCAACCTTCCCCGGCTTCCTACACCTCGACTACACCCTCGAAAACCCGTCCATGCACTTCCTCACCTTCAACCTGACAATGGAAGCCAGCGACCAGTTTGCGTTCCACGGACCCAAGTCCACCACAGTGCAGCTGGTACCGCTAAGCAGACATACGGTGCGATATAACTTGCTAGCAAATGTGACTGGCACGTGGATACAGCCGCAACTGGTGGTGGTGGATTCGTATTTTAATAAGACGTTGAGGGTGTTGCCTACGGAGGGGATGAGGGGAGATAAGAAGGGAATTTTGGTATGGGTTGATGCGGAAGGGTGAGAAAGGGGATGTGCGTGAGTTGTTGGAGCCGTGACTATTTTTGACTCAAGGATCTGAGGAGGAGCAAATAGAGCAAAGCATATGTACGAGGGATGCGTGGCCCCATTCTGTTGGAAATCTATTTCGATACCATTTTTTGTGTTATCCACTAGTTAATGTCCGCGGGGGGGGGGGGGGGGGTTTGCAGGAAATATTTTCCATTATGCAAACCTCAATTTTCTCCCTATGCTATGATTAATTACGACCATTTTCTCCACAAAAGTTTTTTCCTCTCAGTGTCATCTTGACCCGGTCAACCAACTAACTTGAGAGATACTTGGATTCTTGGCTTTCATACCTCCAAGGGATGCATTTGAGATGTGGTGCTCTTCGGCGTTGATACATCCCGAACACACACCCTTGTCTTGCCCATCATCCCAATGGCAAGCAATTCAATCCCCCCCCACAATCAACAAAGCAGCTGGTGGGGGGTTGAATCCCGACGCCTAAATACTCAACGTTTACCTGCACCCCCCTAACAAGGGGGATATCTATTAATATTGTCATGTCACGTTCCAACCTATCTCTCCTTTCCTCCTTCTGTCATGAATTCCATTTCGTTGTCCCTCGTCCTTATCATCACCCAACACAACCCGCTAGACGGAAAGCCAAAACCCCCTGAAACCCCTCATGCCGTCGCCGACGCGCAACAAATATACCCCTGATACCGTGCGAAACTGGTATAACATGTCAGCTGGCTGAACACTGTCTTATCCTCAAGGTTCCTGTGTATGGCTGCATCCAAGCGTTCTGGGTGCCCCTGCAGTTGATGCAGTTGAAGACAATCATATGGGCTGTTATATACTACCTCTTCACTAGCCTAGGAATCACTGCTAGTCCGTAGTTTTTTTTCTGCCTTTTCGCTCAAGCCAAAATCCACTTTCTTTAGTTTCCTTTTGTCTCCTTCCTTCCTTTTTTTTTTTTTTTTTTTTTCCATGATCAGGGGTTACTTGCAGCACCGCAATAGGATACCATCATCGCCCATCGCCTCTGGGCCCACCGCTGTTACTCCGCCACACTCCCGCTCCGGATCTGGCTGGCAGCCGCTGGTGGTGGTTCCGTCCAAGGCTCGATCCTCTGGGCTCGGGGCCACCGAGCTCATCATCGCTATACGGACACTGAAAAAGGACCCATATTCGGTGCGCAAGGGCTTCGTGTATTCTCACTTTCGATGGATGATCATGAAGCAGAATCCGAAACTCACTGGGCGGACAGACGTCTCTGACCTGAAGCATGATCCAGTAGTGATGTGGCAGCATCGCCATTATCTGTTAACAGTGGTCACGATGGGATTGTCTATCCCAATGCTCGTTGCCGGACTTGGCTGGGGAGACTGGTGAGGCGGGTTCATCTATTCAGGAATCCTGCGCATATTTTTCATTCAGCAGGCTACATTCTGCGTGAACTCGCTGGCCCACTTGCTGGGCGAGCAGCCGTTTGATGACCGCAATTCACCGCGCGATCATGTTGTTACAGCCCTCGTCACGCTAGGCGAGGGCTATCATAACTTCCACCATGAGTTCCCTTCCGACTACCGCAACGCGATCGAATGGCACCAGTATTATCCTACCAAATGGACAATCTGGCTCTGGAAACAAGTCGGTCTCGCCCATCATCTGAAACAATTCCGTGCCAATGAGATTGAAAGGGGGCGCCTGCAACAGCTGCAACAGCTGCAACAGCTGCAGAAGCAAGTAGATAGGAGACGGATCCAGTTGGACTGGGGGCGGTCTCTCGAGGAGCTGCCGGTCATGGAGTGGGAGGAGTATGTCGATCGGGCCAAGAAGCGTGGCCTCGTTGCCATTGCTGGGCTTGTTCATGATGTGACTGGGTTCATTAAGGAGCATCCCGGCGGCAAGGCGATGATCCAGTCGGGGATCGGCAAGGATGCCACGGCTATTTTTAATGGAGGCGTATACAATCATTCTACGGAGTAACGCAGCGCATAACTTACTGTCTAACGATGCGAGTAGGTGTGATACCCGGAGGGGCAGAGGTAGAGATCTGGAAGCGCGCAAACAAGAAGGGGAGCGCAATTTAGACGAATAAGATTCTTTTTTTAATTTATTTCTCTACATAATGCCTTATTATTGGAATGATCTTTTTTTTCTTTTTCTCCGGGGGGCGTGGCGATTCCGGGGCCCTTCACAGTCCATCTTCCCCTGTGTGTTGATGCCCCTGCAGCTTTCTCTGGAATTTCAGCTCCAATCCCACGCCACAGAGCCAGTTACTCTGCATGTAATGCATTTATACATACATTGGTTAGCCATTTCAAGATGAATAATATGGAGATAATTGGTGTAAGTTACTGACATGCAGGCTGACCATAAATTCTTTTGTATTTTCTTATATTTTCTTTGTGAGAAGTTGTGAGAGGGATAACTGGTGTTTTCTTGAATTGCCAACTATTACTGTAGAAATAGCTGACATGAGATGAAAATGTCTAACAATCAGGGCTATTTTCTACTTGTTCATAAACAGGGGTACGGAGCATATTACCCTGTACTGAGCAGGATATCAAGCTTTTCATCCATTTCAAGAGCTTCCCCCTGTGTGTACTGTACTACCACAACAATGACATAACTATCCCTGTAAAAAGCTCTGTAACTAACATGGCTGATCAGGGGCTAAGAAAAGCAGGATTTACACATGCTCATACATGCATGTAATGTAATGTACATGTACACGTACATACAATTTCCAAGGCGGGTGGGACAATCAATGAATTACTATGCATCTGCGTAGAGTAACGAATTTATTTTTTGTACCTGTCACTGCCTGTTCTTTTCTTTGCACGATAAATCCCTTCCTGTGCTGGCAGATCGATCTGTATTCATTGGGAAATCATCATGAATATTATTTGTGCAACACATCGCAAGAACCTATCCTATCTGATCGATCCCATGGGCCCAAGTGTGGGTACATGATCATGGAGTAGCGGGAGGCTAAATCATAACCAAGCTGCAGGGCTCTCTTTAACTGGAATAGCCAAGAGCTTAGGGGCTTAGAGGCTTCTTAGTGGTAGGGGAGGAATAGAGGTTCCCTGGATTGGACCCGTCGGTATGGGGTTTGTACCTTAATCAGAAGCGAGCCCTAACTATTAAACCAACGCCGGTCCCGGGTCCCCCTCCTCGGCCAAGATGAAATAACTACAGAGCTGAGTCGCCTCCAAGCTCTGTTCTGTTTGGATCTCCTGGTGCTTGTCCTTTTCTTCTTCATTTTCCTTCCTATATATATATATATTCATGTATTTATCATTATTATAGTATCTATTACTATTACTGCATCGACCATAACTCACTGCGCGCCATTATTTTGGCTCCCAGGCTTTCTGTCTAATCATTATAATAGTAACATACAGCCGCCTCAGGGCGCCTCAGGAATCGCCACAGCGCAGCTCTGAAAATTCAGCAACAAGTTGTTCGTGGTAGCATGGAAAATTCGCTCCCGCCAGCCATAACCCAGAGACACGATGGCCAGCCGATAGATGGTAAGCAATATCCCACCATTGTCCTTTTACCAGCCCCCCCCATCCGATACATGCGCCGTGCCTTGAGAATGCCTTATCTCCGAGCATTGAAATTGACTGAGAAGTCGTCTTCCTTCAGCTGCCGCAACCGCCGAGGTTGTCCTCAATGAAACCTGTCCAGCCGTCCCTGAAGGCTATGAACATGTGCGCGACACCTCGAACGGCTATGGGAACGGCCCAGGCCTCATCAGTCTCAGCGATCATCTCGAAGTCGTCTGCGGTCCCTTCCTGAACTACAAGGGCCTCCGGGATGCGAACCAAGAGTTCCCCACATGGCAGGGCAGCGTGTTGCTTGTCACAAAGCCAGGCCAGAGGCAGCCAGTTCTGGAATTGCGCTCGTTGGGCGCAACCCTTCCCTTTCCTACCGGCACTGGCGCAGGGCGCTCCAACCTCGTCAACGGCGATATGTCACAAAATGATAGCCAGGTAACAACCGTGGAGGGGCTCAAGCTGTTCGCGGACCCGATCAAGGCTTTCTGGCGGTTTCCGATTACGGTGCCGCTACGAGCCAAGGAGACGCGCTGGGAATATTCGTTTCCACGATTCCGCTATTTTAATAATAAGGAGGCGCTGGGTCGCTGGAATTTCGTTGTCCCCGCTGCAAACGACTCGATGCGCATTATGTTCTATTCATGCAATGGTTTCTCCATTGGTACAGATCTTGATTACTGGCAGGGTCCCACTTTGTGGAACGAGGTGCTTCGCATCCATGAGAAGCGGCCTTTTCATGTCATGATCGGGGGCGGCGATCAAATCTATAACGATAGCGTAAGGGTTGACGGTCCATTGAAGCCGTGGACCGATATTTCGAATCCGCATAAAAGAAGAGCGCATCCGTTTACCAACAAGATGAGAGACGAATGCGATCGTTTCTACTACGAAAACTATATCAAATGGTACGGGATGGAGCCGTTCGCGACCGCAAACTCACAAATCGCCCAAATCAATATTTGGGATGATCATGATATCATTGATGGATTCGGCTCATATACCGATCATTTCATGAAATGCGCCGTCTTCCGCGGTATTGGAGGTGTTGCTTTCAAGTATTACCTGCTCTTCCAGCACCATGTGGCTCCGCCCATGTCTACATATACCACCGATGCGCCCGCAACTATGTCCGCAGTCAACGGTACCTCGGGCGCTGACCCTAGGCAGCTAGAGCACACATATGTATATAACGAACAGGAGGAAGACCCGAGTTTCATCACCGGCAAAACCCACGGACCTTACGTGGAAGAGCGCAGCAGAAATCTATACATGCGTCTGGGACGGCGCATGACTTTTGTCGGACTGGATGCCCGCACAGAGCGTACCCGGCACCAAATCAACTACCCGGAAACCTATGAAATGGTATTTAACCGACTAGACCAGGAGCTAGCCCAAGCCAACGGCGACATCAAGCATTTAATCCTTCTCCTAGGCGTCCCAATCGCCTACCCCCGCCTCGCCTGGCTGGAAAACATCATCAAGTCCCCCCTGATCGCGCCAATCCGCCTGTTGAACAAACGCTTCGGCGTCGGCGGGGACTTCTTCAACAAATTCGACGGCCAAGTGGACCTCCTCGACGACTTGGACGACCACTATACCGCGCGCCAACACAAACGCGAGCGCCGCGAGATGATCCAGCGCCTACAGCAGTTATCGCGAAAGTACTCCGTCCGCGTCACCATTCTCGGCGGCGACGTGCACCTCGCCGCTTTGGGCCGCTTCTACTCAAAACCACGCCTCAACGTCCCCGCCGAGCTCGACTTCCGCTACATGGCCAACGTTATCAGCAGCGCCATCACCAACAAACCACCCCCGAAAGCCGTCGCCAACCTGCTCGCGCGCCGCAACAAGATCCACCACCTCGACCATGACACAGACGAGACACTGATGAAACTTTTCGATAAGCAGCCCGGCGGCAAGGAGAAGGGCGCCGCGTTCAATAAAGTGACGATGCCGTCGCGGAACTTTGCGTGTATCACGGAGGTGTCGATGGATGGGGCGGTGAATGGCTCCGCCGATGTAGCTCAGACGACGCCCGTGGTGATACCGAAGGATGGGCATCAACCGTTGCATGCTGGCGAGGAGAATGCGGGAACGACACATCGGGCGGCTGATGGAGTTAGTAATGTCAGCGGCATGATTGGCGGGCTCGATGTTGCCATACGGGTTGAAATCGATGGATCGGATCGGAATGGGACGACGGAGGGGTATGGGTTTAGCAGTGAGTTTTTCTTTTCTTTTCTTTTCTTTCTTTGTCATTTGGGACTGGATTTATGTGGATTTCCTTCCTTTTCTTTCCTTTCCATTCATCTTACTTTACGCTTCTTTTATTTGACTGATACTCATTGCATTCCTATAAAACAGTACCTCCACTAGCTATCCCGCGGAACGATCGGGTAAGCCAGGAGACGACTCGTTCCCGACGCTTCCATCGAATTCACCGCCATCTACATTCCTCCCACAGCAATACATCTGCACCGCCTACCACCAACATGGCCGCGACCTCTGCTCCAGAGTCAGATAATGTGACCCCTCTGCCTCGCCCCGCTACTGCCATAGTGGAGGGAGCAAGGTAGCTAACCACAGACAGATAAGAGATGGAAATAGCAAAAATATGAGATTTTGAATAGTAGGGCGTATGTAATGATATGAATAGGGAAAAAAAGGGGGCCAGAAAGGGCAAAAGAAAATTTTATACCGGTTGGTTTTTGGGTAGGTAGGTAAGGAAGGCTTTCTTCGGTTTGGATTTTCTTTTTTTTTCTTTTTTTTTTTTTTTTCATGGAGGTGGGATATTGAAACTATCCATCTATCTATCCATCTGTTTTTCTTTTAATTCCCCGCTATCTAATATTGAATGGATGGATGGATATCTTTGATTTTGATCTCTCTCTCATCTCTTCTTTTGGCGGGAGAGTACCTATATCCTTCTTGATTTCCTACATTTTTTTCTCATTTTGCTTATAATAATACCCATTTCCCCATTTGATGATATCCGGCCCAAATGAATGGATGGAATGACGATCTATCTATGACGGGTTTTTGGGGTGGGATTTCGAATGGCTTCTCACATTTAATATCATATTTACCTACTCTATTCATATTTTATTTTTAATATTTTATGTTTATTGAGTTCGTACCCTTCGTCGCATATTTATTTTTATATCTGTCTTCCTATCCTACATGCATTTGATCCTTTTCCCCTTCCCATTTCCGCATTTTATTTCTCATCTGCTCCCTTATGTCCTAGGATCGAGTTTAAGGGGTACCTAAAATGCAGGAGAGAAAGCAGGAGGGAAATGACCCCTGGGACCGGCGGCAGAAAAGTGATTTTGGTTTTGGATTGCTCTTCTTCAACTGCAAATCTCAGTTAGATATTGGCTTACTCTAATATTTTTTTTTTAACTTCTGTTTACTGGGAATTTCTATTCTTTGACTACTGGGAATGGGACGTTTTGATACACTTATGGCATTGTAAAAAGTTGTATATTTCTCAAAGCTTTCTGAAAAATGGAGTTCACAAGCAAAAATTATATAAAAGTACATGCCTGAATATCCAGCTAACAAAAAATTCCTTCTAATTACTCATACATAAAAGGAAGATGCAACAAAAATAAAACACCCCGTTCCAAAATCTAAAAGAGAATCGTACTAGTTAACTTCCCTCAATCAACACCGCCACCAGCCAGCCCTCCTTACCCCACCCTTTCCCCCAACCAAAACCAAAGCTACTTCCCACCACTAAACCATCCCCACAACCCTTCCTTTTCCTTCTTCCGTCTCTTCTCCTCTTCCTTTTTCCCCTTCCACCACCACCCGGCCACCGTGCCAGCTGCATAGCCACCCAAATGACTCCAATGATCCATCACGGGCATCCGCAGCCGAAACGGCAACACCACCAATGACGCAATTTCGATAAACACGATGACACTCAGGAATGTCGAGCCCTTGGCGGAGAAGGTCTCTTGCCAGGATTGCGGGAGGAGGGCAATGGTTAGTTTGTCGCTATTTTATGGGAGGGGTTAATGTTAGCGGTAGATCAAATTGTAAAGGGAATGGAGAGAGGGGAGGACGAACTTTGCATGTATCATGCACCAGGCGGCGACGAGGCCGGCAATGGCGCCTGAGGCGCCGAGGGAGGTTACGGTTAGTTTATTTTGGAGGACGTGGGCGGTTAGGGAGGTTAGGGAGGCGATGACGCCGGCAGAGAAATAGAGGGAGAGGAAGTCGGCGCGGCCGAGTTCTTCGTGGACTATTTTTGAAGGTTTGTTAGAGCCAGCGTTTCCTTTTAAAATTTACTAGACTTTGGGAGTTGAATTAAAGGAAAGGTGGGAGGTAATAGGATATGAATAATAGAGAATCATTGGCAATAAAGGTAAAACGTCACTTACGTCTTGTCCCGATGAACCACAAAATCAACATATTGGCACCTAGATGTCGGAATTGTTGGTGGCTGAATATGCTGCCGACAATGCTAATTGAGTACGGATACAACGGCACGCTGATGAAATATCGATTCAACATTCTCCAGGCGGGCGGGACGGCTCGCCACATGGCAAAGATGAGGACGTTTGCCCCAATGAGACCGATCACGGTTGCTGCGGCGGGGGGTGTATTGGGCATCAGGCGCTCCTGACGAGGTGCTGGCTCATAATTTTCGGCGAGGACACAGCAGAGGCCTATGGTAAGGAGTGTTATACAGAGAGAGGGGAGGATTCGGCTGGCCTGGTTGGTTTTTAGTTCCTTTAATTCCATTCTTCTCTAGTAAGGTTCTGATTGCGGCTTGAGACATACCTTCGAGAGTTTTGAGGTATCCAAATCCTTTGCTGTTGCCCGAAGATGATGTTTCTGCACCCAAGCCAACGCAGGACGGACATCCGGATCCGCACGAGGTTTAGCTAGAAGGGGGGTACCGGTTAGAAAAAGCCCAGCAAAACCATCACGGCAGATAAAAATTAAATGTGGAATGTGCAGAATATAGAAATACCTTCCATAACAGCGGCTTCCTCGAACTTCCGCAACTCCATATTTTTCTGAATGCTCCGCTTCAACTTTTCCCGATCCTTCGCCTCGCCTTCCAGCCACTCGCGTCTCCGCCGTTCATCATCCAACTTATTCTTTCGCTCGTTCGCCTCCCTCGTTTCCTGCAGGATACTTTTGCCATAAACATCCCCTTCCTTCTCTATGGGTTTATCGAACTTCCCACTCTGCGGTTTATACAGGCCAAGCGCTTGACCACGCTTGATCAGCTTCTGCTCCTCTGCAATTTCTTCTCGTTCAATACGCTTTAGAATCGCAGCATCTTCGTCCACGGGGTATCTTTTCCGCAGCCATTCTAGTCCTGCTATTATCGTATCCTCCGCCACAACATTCTTTATATCAGCGGGGAGATCGACATCGATGGTACCGGAGATACGACGTGCTTGGAGTATTCGTAGCATTCTGTTGCCCAGCGGTACTGAGATCTGCGACTCTGAACCAAATATTTGGTAGAGCTCCAGAGCAGAGAGATCGCGGGCTCTGAACCGAGCGCCATCTTCGCGTCTCTTGAGGGGCGGAGGAGATCGGGGTGCTCTGGCGGCGAAGGTAGCGGAAGAGGAGAATGTGCGGGACGGAAAGGAGATTCGACGGGAATGACACGATTGGAATATGCCTGTAGGTTTAGTTGGAGATAGTATATTCTGGAAGGGATTGGAAATATTCTGCAGGCTACTCATAGAGCGGGTTGCAAAATTCCGGCCGTCAGGCCATATCATCTGGAGAAGGGCGAGGGGAGCTGCTTGGGGAGATGGCGAGGAGCGAATGCCCATGCACGGTCTTCGCCATGCCACCGAGAAAACATTGTTCATCTCCCACAGCTCAAGAGAGATCTCATCTGGCTACAGAAACGGCTTTCAATATCGTGAGTTGTAATTGTAGGAGTCTGAATTTTTTGGCGGGAGAACTTTAGCGCGGAAATGCGGCTCCACCGGCGCCTATGTGCCGCTTATTAAGCGCGATTAGCGCCAGGTTTGCCTTTGATATGATGTTCAATTATAGCACCAAAAGGGCAAAATATCATAGCTACGCCGACATTGTTATGCTTATTTATGCATAACTAGCTATTAATTGGATCTCATGGCTAATTACATTGTATTAGAACCTGAGGTGGAGCTTCTTACACAATTTTCACAACTTGCACTGGTGTTGAGCCTCAAAAACGTCTTATGTCATCCCGCCTTCTACATAGCTTACTTCCAAATATCAACAACCTCACACCTCTCTTCTTTATCTTGAAAACACAGTTTTGCTTCACCCTTAAGGCTGTTGGGCCCATTAAGCTTACTTGAGTTGGTTTGATACTGAGTTTTACTTCCAGTTTCCCTTACCTGCCCCTCCATTCAGTCTGAAATTACCCCTCAATAGCAAGCTATCCACCCCACCTCAAATCCAAGCGTCTTCATTCTATTCCTATAGTTACGACCCCGACCATCACCACAGGACAAAACAAAATCAATTTCTAAAACAATGTCCGCCGCCTCCACCCCGATAACCCCACAAGCCTTCGCCGAAGCGCTAAAATCCCTTCCCCTCTCTTCCCTCTACGCCAAAGGCTCCGAGCTTCGCAACTCCATCGCCCACCTCCAGCGCTCAAACGATGAGTTGGCCCGGTACATAGCGGAAGAGTCACCGGACGGCCACGATAAGGACTGCGAAGATGCCATTAAGGAGAATGAGGTGGTTATTGTTCGTATGCAGGAGAGAATTGATCTTTTGAAGGTTGAAGTGGAGCGTAGGGGGAAGAGATGGAGTGAGGAGATGGAGATGGACATAGACATAGACGGGGACGGGGATATGAATGGTGGGGCTGAAGGGGATGTGGGCGTGGGCGTTGGGGTTGCTGACAGCGGGCCTACGGGAACGGGAACGGGAACGGAAACGGAAACGGAAACGGGGAGTGGGATAAATGCCGGTAACAATATCCTAAATGGAGATGCCCAAACAACGACGGGGCAACATGCTCAGCCCCTCAGTAATCAAAATAATAGCGCTGCTAGCGCGGGGCGGAATGGTTCTGGTGGTGATGATGAGATGCAGGGAAGTGAGGCTGGTGTGTATTTATGAGCTACGTTGCTCATCATTTCATCGTTATATTGCTGTCGATTGGATGTCTCGGCCCACTTCGCCTTTCCCTTGTTTTTAGGGTCAATATCGATAACATGGCCGAGACATGTTACGGGGTTTGATATTCTATTATTCGCCGTCGATTCCCGATGTGTCGCTTTTGGCCCCCTATTTATTTGTCAACTATCCTGCCGAGGAAATACGGACCCTGGCTCTGTGGCTGCCTGGCCTTATGAGGCGTCTGAAACATGCCTTCAGCCATCAGCCCTATTTGAGAACGGGGTGCCAGGAAGGTTGAACGAAGAGTTGGGTTGGAGGGTCAGGGGAGTTGTGTGATGTCGCTTCGCTTTCGCAAGGAAGTGTGCTTTAGGGTTTGGTTTATCGGAAAGTTATAATAGCCTGGTAGGGCGAGGAAATGTATCCGGGGCTAGCAGAAAGTGAAGAACAGGATCTACCCATGCCACCTATTTATTTATACTTAAAGAAACGGCCGGACTGCGTAATGTTTCCGTCGGGACAACGAAATGAGCCGGAAGCCGCAGTGACTTAAAAAGGCTTGTAGAAAGCTTAAACTTAATACATTGAGAAGCCTTGAGACATTAAAAAGAAAACAACCGTTGCAGGGTTTATTGCAGGATTTTGGTTGAATGTAACTAAGTCAGTGATTGCCGTCCTCGCCGAAGCGCAGCTCCCTCGAAAACAATTGTTTAATTTTAAATTGCCCGCTAGCTACCTGAGAAATTGATTGGCTGGTTGCTGGAGACATGCAAAATCAATATTTATGCGAAGAAAAAGCGAGCAGGGCAGTTTCAAAATGAGACTTTAAAATGGAGGGAGAAACGGAAAAATGGGAATCAAAGTGTAAAAAAGAAAATCCATGCAGACATATGCCCGTTCCCGAAGAACAAAATGAAATAACAAACGAAAAGAAACAAGGCCCAATAAACATAAGATATCTGGGTCGAGGGCTTCAATAGCTTTAAAAAAAATCGCCAATAAGAATAATGAAACGGGATATGCCCAGTTTGGCCTTCTCTCCCCTGAGTGACAAATATGATTAACGCCCTTGACTTTATGATATGCGTCTCCATTCCCACATTGCAATCCATAGTTAGGTCTCTAATTGGAAGGTGCAGTGGTAGGAGCAGGAGGGCCAGCAGGTGTAGGCGTCGACAACGACGTCTGTTGAGCCCAATGGCCAGCGAGTGCTTCTGGAGGGATCTTCTCTTGCTTGATGTAGATGTCGATCAAAGGTTGCATGGGCTCCATTTCCTTGTCTGCAACAAGTTTGTAGTACTTCGCGACAGTCACGAAATGCACGAAGCACATATTAAGAACTTCATGCTTGTTGATGTGGAAGAAGGGATTTTCCCAATGACCATGGTACAAATGCGCATAACAACGGAACATTTGCTTCATGATTCCCTGGCAATCTTTGTAGAAGGTTTGGGGGAATCCACTGCTCTTGCCAATCCAATCTTGGGTAGATGGGTTGGTAGGTGGGGTAGAACTTGTGCCGCTCGGATCACTCGATGACACAATTGGTGTTGTTCCTACAGGAGTGCTCTCTGTGGGAAACATCACTGGGTCATGGATTTTACTGACGATCCATTTTTCAACTCTGTTGATGAATTTGGGGGCAGATATCCTAGCCGCTCTGCCATCGACCAGCCAGGTGTAGGTCAGGCTAACAAAGAAAAGAGGTCAAGTCAGTATAATCGGGGTAGTAGTAGATTGCGGGGAAGGCTAATTCAGCTTACCGGCCTGCAGACATGGTAGGACAAGTGTTTTCATTGCATATAGGGAGGCCGGTTAGGCCATTTATTTCCTGAATAACTTGAAGCATGCCATGGAGAAGACGATTTTGCTCCACAACTAGAATATTGAGTTTCAATTAGCAGGTGTTTCAGGGAACGACACCAAAAATAACCCCAAAGGCCCGACATACTCTGATGTGCCAACCATTCGCCAAGCTCGACGTTCTTGGGACAAGCGCAGAGAGTCAGAAAATTGCCTTTGACGTTAAGCATAGCATACTTCTCCTGGAAGAAGTACTTGGTCGAATCATTGTCGTTCGTAACGCTGTCGACGCTGAAAGTGGAAGAAATTGAGGGAGAATTCATGAGACCGGACGAATGAGAATACCCTGCTGGCGGTTGATTCTGAGCACCGTTATTCAGCCTCGGGGGGTTATTGTTGTTATTGTTGTTATTGTTGTTATTGTTGTTGTTGTTTTTGTTCGACCCCCGGCCAAACCCCTGGCGGCTATTGTCGCACAGTGGTCAAGTCAGCAGGTGAGGCTTTAAATAAATAGGTTTCAAATTCAGGGGGCCAGAGACAAGCATCGTAGTAGAGTTTGGCAGCACGAGGTGGTATGGAGGAGGGATGTAAAGTAGCAACAAAGAACCAGAACTGTGGGCAGTAACAAGACAAAGACAGCGCTGCAGCATCCCTGAGGCCTGGCTGGCGGGGGAAGAGAAAGAGGCGGGATACCTACACACTCTGGAAGAACGTCGCCATGATTCAGATCACACGCAGCCAGGGAAACTCTAGTCTCGACACAAACAAATGGCAGTCAGAGCATCCCAGGTTAGCAATGACAGATGGCTAACACAGCCGATGCACACTCAAAGAGGGGGACAAAAAGCCGTTGCTGGAGAGTTGGATACAGCGGATTGTTTGGCTGCAACTTTTGGTTGGAGAGACAGCTGGAACATCCAAACCGCTTATGTCATCGCGAACATGGCGGATTATCTTATTTCCGATATTGATAAGGGACTTTCTATATCGGGTTTAGCGCCACTGACCTCAACTTTCTCTCTGTCGCAAGTTGACGACGGGGATGGGGATAAGTCAATCCGAGCTTGCTTCTCCCTTTGAAACAACGTTTTTTCGCGTCAATACAGTCTACATTGTGGACTAATACACCCGCGATCCTGAATTTTCTTTCGGATCTGAAATATTCCAGCAAGCAGAGGGGTTAGAGCTACTCAGCTCTGCAGGAGCTATCCTTTAGCTTCCTCGCCATGTCTTCGGATGACGATCACCAAAGTCAACTTTCGGAGGAGAACGAGCGAAAACATGCTTCTGATGCCTCCGAAAGGGGAGCTAATGACGCCTTGAACTTTGACGATGAGCAAATTAACGGAGATGACGACGCAGACCTTTTTGGTTCTGAATCAGAGCCTGACGAGTACGTTTATTTTTTTCCCCTTGTGTTTTACTACCAGGAAAAGGAAACGGCAGCTAACTATATATTAGGCACAAGCCGCGGAGACTCGATGATGAGGAACTGGATTCTGGCGATGACGAAGGTCGCTATGACCGGCTTGGCTCCCCCATGGATGAGGATGGAATGAACTATACGGAGTCGTTAAACGTCATGGACCTGAGTCTCAGTCGTGTACCAGAACCAGAATCTACAGACGGAGAGGTACTGTGCTTTTCTGTATCAGATATTATTTCCGTGAGATGTTGTACTAAAACCAGCTCCTGCAGGTCTACACTTTGGCCATACCAAATTTCCTCGCTATTGAGTCCGAAGACTTCAACCCAGAAACATATGTTGCTCCGCCCTTTAACTCAGCATCTACATCCCTCTGTTGGCGCTATGATCCAAACGATGGTGAGATGCTTCAATCGAATGCTCGGATTGTCCGCTGGTCAGACGGTTCATTGACCCTCCAACTTGCATCGAATCCAAAGGAGCAATATCGAATGCCATCTAAAAGGCTCGCTCGTTCTAACAAGGCGCGAAAAGCTACTGACTACGATTCTGAGTTGGATGCACACGCTTATCTCGGCGCAGCTGCTGAAGCTTCTTCAGTGTTCCGTATTACCTCTCACCTTACGTCGTCGCTAAGCGTCCTTCCAACAACGGTGGAAACCGACGACGCTGTCCAACGGCTCAAAGAGTCATTGGAAGCTGCTGCGAGGGGTGCAAAAAAGAACCCGGATGGCACTGTCACCATGTTTGACGTCGCTGAAGACCCAGAATTGGCCAAGAAACGTGCTGAGCTTGCAGAGCGTGAGAAATTGCGAGCAGATCGTAAGCGTCAGCTGGCCGCAGACCGTGATCTTGACCGAGGAAGGCGTGTCGGTATTTCCTATAGAACCGGAGGAGGTGGGCTCACTGTTGCTGGATTAGAAGGCGACGATGATATGTTGACCACCAGAGCCCGTGGCGCAAAGAAACCCAAACGGAGACCTAATCGTCGCGGGGAGATATATTCCGATGAGGAAGATGAGTACGATCGAAGAGGACGGACAAGGGAAGATGAGTATGACGAAGATGACGGTTTCCTGGTTGGTAGCGATGAAGAACCAGAGATTATGGAGGATGAAGACGAAGAGGAAGAAGAATTTGAAGACGGAGATGCCGATGCCGAAGGAGAAGTTGATGAGGAAGCGCCACAGAAACCATCAAAGAGAGAGCCCTCACCAAAAAGGTCACCAGTGGAGACCCTTCGGAAAAGTGCTGAACCTGAAGTTGGATCACCGCCTGCCAGGAAGAAAAATCGATATGTCGTTGATGATGATGAAGATGATGAGTAAGGAGGGCAGATCTTGTGCCTGGAACAACAATAATGCCCTCTTCGCCTCTCCTTCCTCTCTGGCCGTTGGCAGCACAACCACTGACGCCGTATTTTGCTTCTAATAATAATATTTTATGGGAATTAATATAAAAGCGGAACCCGAAATGATACTTGGCCCCCAATAAAACTCGCGTCCCACTTCCCGAGCGCTACAGAAGCGCAAAACCCCTTGACAGCCCCGCGGCAGATCTATGCTTGGGGATGTCAACCGGCCTTGTACAATATTTTTGTTCGCCTGCATAATTTTTCACCCTTTACTTGGACACTACAAAACTTGGCGCTTATCCCACGCATGACGTCTAGACTTCGGGTATTGTGATCATGCGGAAATGGAAACCAAAAATTAAAATGACAATACAAACTGTTCAACAATGAGATCCCCTTTGCCCTTTCCAGTTTTATTCTAAAACCCTCTTGAAATTCCTAAGATAAGAGCATTCTCTTTGCAAATATATTGTGACAAGGTTCTTCGCCACCACCCTTGATGTGTGTCAAATCAGCAATCTCTCAATACTTGCAAGAATTATGCTTCGTTGTTTTCACTTGGCATTGGTGGAAAATCTGATAACAACCCCGACAAGGAGCCTGAACCCTCAGTCCTCACCATCCCTCCCTTTCAACGCCAGGGCATTATTTCCCCTCAAAGCCTTACTCCCCTACAAGCCAAGAAATAGATGGAAAAAGAAAAGCAAAGAACAGAGCTAGCACTCAAACCCAACTAGCATTCTTCCTCCCTTTTCTTTTCTGGCCCCCACCCAACTCGTAGAAAGGCTAGAAGCCACCCAGTTTCAAACCCCACATCATGAAACTTGTTGGAATAACTAGTAAAATGGAAATAATAAAATCGGGCTTTGAGGTATCAGCCATAACATCCCCGCGTTCTCAAGAGGGCTTTGCATTAGCTTCGTTCGCATCTGGATACCACCATAGTAGCTCCTATGTATCCTCGAGTCCCTCGGATGAAGAACACGCATGTAACCCTTTTTGTTTTTCTTGCTTCGTTCCCAAGTTTTCTTAGCCAAAAACTAGGGCTAAGTTACTTATTTTCGTTGTTACTCTCATTTAGTTTTTAATTGTTTTCCATACATACATATACTGGAAAGACAGCTGAAAAACAAAAGCAACTATCACCAAGGGTCATGCTTATTTGATCTAGGCAGTGGAGGAAGACCTGTAAGGAAAGAATAAACTTTTAGCGCAGCACACAAATCCATGGCGATCCGGTCATATATAGTAACAATGGGGTTTTTTTTTTTTTTTTTTTTTTTTTTTTTTTTTTTAAAAAAAAAAAAAAAGTTTTAGCTAGAAGAAACTGCTTGGTGGTTATTTTCACTCCATTTCAGAACAAGTCATGAGATATTTTCATTTGCCTTTTCTTAATCGCCTCTCATCTTTGCTTGCGACATAGCGGTCAATTCATTAATAATCATACCTGCATACAAGTCAGGCTAGCTTTGGACTATTAATAATTATAATAAATATTGAACAAGGCAAGGCAGTAGTTATCCTCGATGATCCGAATGTGCCAAACAAACCGGCAGCTCATGTCCCTCGCGTCCCCCTTCCAACCTCTTGTCCCCCTCCCATTCCCCCCACTATCAAAACACATCCCACCAGACGGGAAAGATCATACGACCCCAATCCCTATACCCCGGGAACTCCAACTTCTTCACTCCTCACAGCACAGTTTCACAGTCCCAAAGGCGCAGAACTGCCCAGATGACATGCGGGCACACTCCGGATCATGGCATGTTCCGTCATCGTTGGAAGTAGACGCGCAAAATGGCTTCTCATCGCGGGGACATCGGGCATTACAGAAGGGGGCTGTGCCATACCACCGCTTCTTAGCTGTTGCTGTCGTTATGGCGGTGGAAAGGACGCAGAGGACGACCAGGGAGAATTTCATGCTTGGGGGGTTATTTGGCTGGTTTATGTTGGGTTGGTTTTGGGGCTTTTCACTTTTTTGCGTTTGTAGCTTGTTAGCAAGCTATCCTGGTAAGGGTGTCAAAAGGAAGTCCTCGGTGTCCCATAAATATTTATTGACAGACGGTTAGATGCAAGATGTGGAGATTCTTTTCGGAATCATCGCGGAGTTGGGCACTAGCTGCTTACACTGCAGAATTTCTAGGCTGATACACGCGTGCTTTTGAGATGCCTGTTCAAAGCAGTCCGACGGAATTCTGAGCAATTGGGGGGATTTTTGGTTTTTCCAATCTAGATAGAAAATTAGCGCTCTGACGTCCATATGTCAAGTTTCGACTCGGGAAAAAGGTTGCAACCTTACATTTGCAAGAAGCGCGTTCTCATGACATGTACGTAATAATGTACATGTAGCTCTGTAGATATCTAAGAGTTGTGATATTCGCAGGATTGGAGAAAGTACATATTCTCCCTGGGGGCCCCCTACCTCTATCAATGCCATTGTGACTCCTTTCCCATGTTTTAATTGTGTGGAAGAACCTTGGGACGGGCGTTCATGTGGAATGCATGACTGCAAGTATTTGTTTGTTCTCTGAGAACATTTCAACTCGAGATGCAGCGGAATCTTGCAGACTTGAATTTCAGCTTCCTGCTAGATTTTCACTAGCAGCAAAATCACCTGGTCTGTTTTACCGTGCCCTTCTCTTGCATACCATTTACCCCGCAAGTGTGGAACCAAATCGTACATACATACATAGTATAGCGGCACACAGGTTGCCTGTCTGTTGCAAACGGGCCGGTTTGACTTGTTACACTGCATCGAATCGAGCTGCAAAATCAGATTCATATCCCCCTGTTTATGTGCTTCTTTTTGCAAAACCAGTTAGTCAGTTCTTCATCCCCTCTCAACATGCCATGCACTAAAAGCTGCAATACCCTTCAACCAAAGGAGGCCAAACCACCTTCGCTCTGTGCGGATAATCGGGCTGAATACGTCCAGGCGTCCTCCTCCCTGATGATGCTTACTGGACTGATAGGGAGGAAGGGCTCTCCTCACCCACCCCGGTTCGGATAAGCAAGACCAGACCGAGGTTGTGAATCTCAATCTCAGCGTCTGATTCGAGGAAAGACGAGCAGCAAGCTACAATATTTTAAACGCGACGGGACAAGCCAATGCAGGGGCTCTTTTGGGGTGGGGGAGGGGGGTTCGACAAAAAGCATAAATCTAAATTCAGTGTAAAATATCCGCCATAGGGCCACAATATGAGTGGCGTATATCGGAGCGAATATGCAGGAAGAATGACAGACCCTTGGAGTGAACTTATCCCTGTCATCATTTGTGGTTTGAAAGAAGTTGCATTGGGAATGAAATCACTTCCGCTGTACTCCGTCCGTTAGTAGTACGCAGTAAGTTGATGGATGTAAGCCATTATAAGCCACTACGCTCTGTTCGTGCAACGTTTCCGCAACCGGTCAGTGCGAAGCTTGGCATGAACTTAGCGCCGCAGGGCCTTCCTTATATGGTTAGACCTCAACTAACTTGTTAAACCTGATTATTACATAATCTGAATCTGATTAGTTAACTAACTATAAACAGCCACAATCTGGGCATTTTTAAGCCTAGATAGAAATTATTTTACGGATAGTCGATAAGTCAGTTCTTGACAGGAAATGATAGTCGGTTCTTTTTGAACAGAGTTCTGGCCGTGTTCAAAAAGAACGGGCAGAATAATAGAGCTATTCTTTTTACCTCATTTAGTTTTAGAGAAGCTTCACTTTTCACCTCTGATTGACACTAAAAACACTAGAAAAGTCAAATCTTGATTACTCATTCATTTTCAAAAATACCATCTGTATTTTTGCTTGTATTGATCAAAACAAGTGTATGACTGACTTGTGCACCGAACAGGCTCTTTTGTTGGCGTTTGCAGGATCCATCTCGTAACGCTATAACTACTTATTATTACTCAACCGATTAGCACTCAAATGATTTGGAAAGAAACAGAGGTAAATGATCCTGATTGCGGGGGTTGAGAAGATGTTGTGTTGCTATAATTATTTTCTATCCGCCAATCTCGGAGTTGCTGTCAGGAGCTGCTCCGACTCGCTACCTATCCGGGCGCCCCCCACTCAGTGCAATATCATGAGAATATATTTACGCCGTTAGCATTAAAGCTCGCAACAGCGGCAATACCGGGTACCTCCCCTTATGTCCGGCATTTAGAACAAGGGAAAGGAGGTAACATAATGATATCAGGGTAGCCTTGAGCGAGTTTTCGAAAAAGTTTGGGGGCCGCAAAAAAAAAAAAAAAAAAAAAAAAAAAAAAAAAAAAAAAAAAAAGCCACCGTTTTGGTTCAGCGGTGAGATTGATCTGCCTATTTAAGTTATTACTACTCCGTATATGGTATGGAGTTAACGGGTTTGCAGGTTCGGGAGATCTATCCACGGCGGAGGTATGTATGTAGATACATATAACTCTGTATAGCGTATTCCATACCGGTAGTTCAATGGAAGCCGGATCGGCTGGGCGGGCCTCGGAGCTTAGGGCCACTCGTATTTTTCCCAGCTCCCCGATCAAGATCTCACACTGTCAGAACTACGGAGTATAGCAGGCGTGAGCTACGTCGGGATAGCCGTGGGTTTCACGTACGGCAGTAAAATGCTAACTAATTATATACTGTACAAAGTTCACGCTTGCCAAACGGCTGCTGGACTCCGGAATTCGGGGTCCGATTCATGGTTGATCTACTCTGTATCTTTGTCCGAACGGCCAGGATCCGCGGGCTATTCGGCCATTCGGTGCTCGATAAATTTTGTCCACGGACATGACATGATTCTGGGGGGGGGGGGGGGCCCTTGACGGTGTTGGTTCCCACTTTCGCTAGGGTTTCAAGAATCGAAGAGGTGGCACGAGGCCTGAACGCCGCCACGATTCGCTTCTCCAGAAAAGAAGCCTAGGAGATAGGCAGATTGGTATGTCCATTCCATACTTTCCTCGGCTTAGTGAGATACCAGAGTTGCTGTTGCTCCTATATGGATCCGCTAAAGCTGTGGCACTATGAATAGCTTGTCAAAGTGGGTTTCGAGTCGAAAGTGGTATCGTAGAGATCGATGCGAAACCATACCATACCTGCTCCTAGCGAAGAGCCTTGCTAGCTCGTTGGCGGCCGGGAAAACAAGGGTTAGCTTCCTGACCCAGGGGTGGGGGGGAGAGGGAGTGTTGTGTATACGTGTGTGTATTATTATTATTATTTGTGTCTGTCTGTGGGTAGTTAGCAGCTAGTGTGATCGCGCTAGAAGGTCGGAGATATCGTACGGAGAGAGAGGGTTAACTTATTTAGCCTCTTAACTGTGAAGAAACACACGCATGGCGGCGCTAAGATTGCATGGTCTTCTGGAACGGCCATGGAAGTGCCATATCTTTATCCTTACTCGGCGTCATTGACTGATATTCCCTGGGCGAGGGTATGGACGCTGTCCAGTGAGCCCTCTGTAAGGCCGAGGGAGCCTTGCTTTTACAGTTTCGCCGAACTTCCCCTTATCTTTCGGCTCTGTTGTATGCTACATGTACATAAATTATGTGGCTAAAGTTCCATGGCAAAGTAGATTTATAGATTCGCTAGGTTGCACACGATGCAAAGGTCACTTACTAACTGTATGTACGTCAAGGTAGGGAGAAAATAGCTACAGAAGATCCTTCTGAAAACCAAGGGTAGACGAGGGAAGAGGAAAACGCGAACAAAAGAAAACATACGCATGCCGTCTATGTTTTTGGCGGGTTATCAGGTAAGAAAAGCTCGGAGGGAAATGGATAAAGGAAAGAAAAAAAGAGCAAAGAAGAAGAGAAACAAGAAAACATCAAATGCCCAGGAAATGCCTATCTACCAATAATCTTTCGTAGCAGGAGCTCAGAAGCAAGAGAAATAAATGCCCAGAATAAAGTAATATGAAGGAAAACAAATAGAAAGTAAAGTAAGAGAGAAAAACCACGAAAGCACAAAATCATCCCATCATCTCTTCGTCACTGAACTCAAACCGCTCTATCACCTGCCTGGCTGTACCTGCTGTGCGGGTACACCAATATTCGGCATCTTGCTGTCGGTCAGCCTCACCTGCGGGCTGGTCACCGCTCGTCCTGAACACTCCCGCTCCCGCTCCTGTTCCCCCTCGGCACGCAGACGGGGGTCTGGGCTGGGCGTGCCACAACCGCTGCCTAGTCTCCAGCTCCTCGATCAGAGCGAGCAGGCTAGGGCTTTCTGCGCTCTCCTCTTGAACAGAATCAACCATAGGAGTAACAGCGCAGCCGATTACTGCATGCCTGACAACATGGCGCAGCCATCGCTTCCACCGCCGCTGTCGCTCGCCGGGGTCTGAAGGTAGAGAGGCAATGAAGGATGGGCAGAGAACGTCTCTACCCAATTGCTCCGCGTCCATTTGCGAGATCTTGAACCAGGTGTCCCCGATCACGTTGAGAAGGCTTCCAAGTATCATCAGATTCTGCACGGAGCTGTGGAAGGCCTGGGGGCATATTTCACAGTATATGACCCCTCTGGCATTACGTGCTGCGTTGTAAAGCGTAGATAAGGTTTGCGATGAGGGCGGAAAGCAAGTGATCGTGGACAGAGAGTTGAGACATAGATACATATAGGAGACACATGAGCATGGCGCGAGAGGTTGTACTTGCCGATACACTTCAGGGCTTGTTACGGGGACCGAACCTAGCGGGAAAGGAGTTGACGTCGTTGGTGGGGTGAACACGTCGATGCTGGAGGAGTGCGAGTAAGATGGTGGTGTTGGATAAGGCGAAGATGGTACTTGGATGGAAGCCTGTCCGTCACCCTGTTCCCCGTACATCGGGTTGCTAGAGACACTTAGGCTTGGTGACATCATATATGAGGTATATGGAGTGTCCATGGCAGCTCCAGGGACTAGCGGCGCCTGTACCATCCCAGGAACAAATCGTGAATAATCAGGAAATTGTGGTGCAATAACTGCGGTATGTGCATCTTCCTGTCGCACCCTGGACTTTGGCGGGCGGCCCATCGGTTTCTGGATAGAGTAATGGCAGTATAGGTTCTGCTTCACGCATCGACTACAGCCGCCGGCTTCGCCAGAGCATTTCAACTTCCGCTGTCCTGATATCACTCATCATTAATGAGGAAACATCAATATGCTGTTGTAGGGCGATTTGTAAGACTTACTACATTCATCACAAGCGGCATGCCTCTTGCGAGAAACGCTTGATTTCGTCATAGGGCCGGCTGAAGGATTACGTGAGAGCGACATTCTTATTTCTGCAATGGCTGCCATTATGGAGGAAAAGGAAAATCCCGAATCAAAACTAAAGGGAAGGCGACGGATTATATACAGTTTTGTGACATCCCAAAGCCTTACTCTCTAAAAATGAAGAAAGATATTTCAAATCTAGGGCTCCAGCCAGTAAACTTACTCTAGAGAAACTCGCCAAGTTGTTCGCCGGCTAGAGGTTTGCGCCTTACCCTTCCTAATAAGCCACATCATTAAGGATCGACCTGGTTTGCCTAAACTCAGCTGTACCGATATCATTACCGTCTTCACTTGAATTTGCCGGGACGAGGTTTCCAGCCATCAGTCAAGGAAGGTGTAATAATAATGTGTAATGTAAGCAAGGTGTCTTGGCCCTGTTCACAATATGGCACGATATTCGTCTCTGCAATGAATTTCGTCCCGAGGGTTCAGTTTCATCACGATGATAGCGAATGAGCAATGCCAGGGTGGAACTCCTCCCCTGCATTCCATCAGTTGAGTAAACCATGTAGGTGCTGTGCTAGCCATATATTATCCCTGGGATCCCTGGGATCCACTGCCGGACTGGAGAAGCGCAAATGCAACCGTTGCTCTATATCCTATTAATGGAACTCGAACTTGATTGCTTTCCAATAACGGCCCCGAAACAGGCTAAATTAAGAATAGCTTAAAAATACCTGGTTGAGGAGAGGAGAGGAGAGGAGGGATTCACTCGCCAACTCGTTATTATTAAAAGAGCCTGGACAAAATAATAATAATAGTTAAATAAATAACTTAGTTAATAATGTCGCGGTTGGTTTGGCCCCTGGCGTTAGGGTTAAGGAGCGCCCGATGAGGAAATGCTGAAATCTAAATGTGGAACACGGCGAGCCACGTGACCGCCGCCAGCCGCACAGCCCTTCCCAGGATTTCAGAAGGGTTAGGCAATAGGCAAACCAGCGACAGAGGAAACGGGACTAACAATGCAAGGTTCTGAGCTTATTTAGTATTTAATTATCCCGTCGGCTGCTAGCGGGGCCGGTGGATGACTCGACTTGTATATTATTATTATTAAGCTAACATTAATCCGTGGTTAATATAAGTAACTAGTTATAGTTAAGTTAGTTAACTTAATTAAGGGATTCGAGGTTTCCTTATATAATCATCCCTGGGTAACCGGAACCGGAATTATTATCTACCGATACAAAAACTCATTGGCGCTTGATTTCTCGCGCTAACAAGAAAAAGTTCAAACAAGCTCCATTGCATGAGCCTTGCGACGCTGCTTCACACGTTCACATATCGATAGCAATTGTTCACAATGGACCCCTCCAAAGGTTCCAGAAAGCGCAAGGCAGTCACTAGAGATCTAGGCGAGGAGCCTGGAGTGGTCTCTGGGGACGAGCTCAATCTGGACACTCTGGATGGGATCTCCGGCGACTCTGATCTTGAGCAGAGTAGCGATTCGGAGATAGAATTGATCGACGACCTCATCAGTGACGATGACGAGGAAGATGAAGATGAATTTGACAGCGATGAAGTTCCCTCGGATATCGAGTCCAAGCCTGTTAGTGGAAAATCAAAGCCAGACCGAGGCGTCGACATCGTTGTTCGGGGCGAGCATGCCGCATCGGACGGAGGCTTTGCGTTTGAGGGTGATGAAGACGATGACGATAAACCCAATTACCGAGTTACGAAGGATGCCAATGGAAACGAGCGGTATATCTACGATGAAATCAACCCAGACGATAACTCAGATTACTCTGAAGCGGACGAAAATGCAAATACCATTGGGAATGTCCCGCTCTCCTTCTACGACCAATACCCACACATTGGCTATAACATCAATGGCAAAAGAATAATGCGACCGGCAAAGGGACAGGCTCTTGATGTGTTACTGGATAGCATTGAGCTTCCCAAAGGCTTTACTGGCCTAACTGACCCTTCGACCGGAAAACCTTTGGAATTGAGTCAAGATGAATTGGAGCTGCTGCGCAAGGTGCAAATGAACGAAATCACCGAAGATGGCTACGACCCTTACCAGCCAACTATCGAGTACTTCACTAGCAAGTTGGAAGTTATGCCACTAAGCGCCGCACCAGAGCCGAAAAGGCGATTTGTCCCTTCGAAACATGAGGCTAAGCGGGTGATGAAGTTAGTCAAGGCAATTAGGGAAGGACGGATACTTCCCTATAAGCCACCAGCCGAAGAAGATGAAGCGGAGGAAGGGGTGCAGACGTACGACCTCTGGGCCAATGAGACCCCACGGGCGGACCATCCCATGCATATACCTGCCCCTAAGCTTCCTCCCCCTGGTTATGAAGAAAGCTACCATCCACCACCGGAGTACCTACCTGATGCAAAGGAGAAGGCCGAATGGTTGAATACAGACCCAGAGGATCGTGAGAGAGAGTACCTACCGACTGATCATGATGCCCTTCGAAAAGTTCCTGGTTATGAGTCATTTGTCAAGGAGAAATTCGAGCGCTGTCTTGATTTGTATTTGGCCCCCAGAGTTAGGAGGAGTAAGCTGAATATCGACCCCGAAAGTTTACTTCCCAAGCTACCTAGCCCGGAAGAGCTGAAACCTTTCCCTTCTACCTGCTCCACTTTATTCCGTGGACACCGGGGACGGGTTCGGACCCTGGCTGTTGACCCAACTGGAGTGTGGCTTGCGAGCGGTGGTGATGACAGTACAGTCCGTGTGTGGGAACTTCTTACTGGCCGCCAGGTCTGGTCTGTGAAGTTGAGCGATGAGGACCCTATCAACGTTGTCCGATGGAGACCTGGGAAAGATGCCGTTGTTTTAGCGGCTGCCACGGGAGACAGCATTCACCTTATTGTACCTCCTATACTTGACCCAGAGCTGGAGAAGTCCAGCCTTGAGATTGTTGATGCCGGATGGGGATATGCGAAGACAGTTACGTCAGCCTCCGCCGGTAGCACGAAGAAGACGCCTGTCCAGTGGACTCGCCCTTCACCCTCCCTTCTCGACTCCGGGGTCCAGGCAGTTATCTCGCTTGGTTACACAGCCAAGTCTCTCTCCTGGCACCGCCGCGGTGATTATTTCGTGACCGTATGCCCAGGCACAGCCACCCCCGTTTCTCTCGCGATAGCAATTCACACCCTTTCCAAACACCTTACCCAGCACCCTTTCCGCCGTCGTCTGAAGGGCGGCGGGCCACCTCAAACTGCCCATTTCCACCCGTCCAAACCCATCCTCTTCGTCGCAAACCAGCGCACCATCCGCGCGTACGATCTTTCGCGCCAGACCCTCGTCAAGATCCTCCAGCCAGGTGCCCGGTGGATTTCTTCCTTTGACATCCATCCAACCTCCTCTACCACCTCTGGTGGCGACAATCTAATTGTTGGCTCCTACGATCGACGCCTCCTCTGGCATGACATCGACCTCTCCCAACGTCCGTACAAAACGCTCCGTTATCACCAGAAAGCCATCCGTGCTGTGCGCTATCATGCCCACCATCCGCTATTTGCGGATGCAAGTGATGACGGCTCTCTGCAGATTTTCCATGGAAGTGTCACGGGTGATCTTTTGAGTAATGCAAGCATTGTTCCGTTGAAGGTTCTCCGTGGCCATAAGGTCACGGGAGAATTGGGAGTTTTGGATCTAGATTGGCATCCAAGGGAAGCATGGTGTGTCAGTGCGGGCGCGGATGGCACATGTCGGTTGTGGATGTAGGAGATTCTGTTGTGTATCATGCATGATACGGGCCTCGAGCTCCTTGTGTTATTGGGTTCCGGTTTTTCCACGAAGCAAGCCATCTTTTTTTTTGTTTTTTCTTGTTTTGGCTAGTTTTCATGTCCTTCTAATATAGATACAATAAAATGTTTTTAGAGTCCCGCGAATGAAAAATCATTTTAATTACAAACCGGAATCTTCCCAGACCTATCCTTCTATTTACATTTCTATATATTACTGCCTGACAAGTGAAACTTATAATGGTAATCTCCATCGGGGAATATGGGTTCATCAATTCAAACAGAAGTGAAGCCTTTCCAGCAAAGTTTTCAATATCTAAAGAACATTCCCACCTTCCCAATCTCTCCTTAACCTCTCATATTTCTTCAGATCCGACACACTCGGCCTAATACCAGCCTTCGCCGCCACAAAGTCTTCGAAACGTATCGTATCCCGCCGCTTGATAGCAGAATAACCAGCTCTGCGCAGCAACGACCCCAGATCAGCACCGCTAAACCCTTCACACGACCTCGCCAACTCTTTGATATCATCAGAGAACTCAATCGGCATTTTCCGCAACAGCGTCTGCAGAATCTCAACCCGCTCATCTGCAGTAGGCAGATTTACAAACAGCAGCGTCTCCAAGCGGCCAGGCCGTAGCATAGCCGGGTCAATGATATCCGGCCGATTCGTAGCAGCGATGACATAAATGCCCTGTCGCGCGCTGCCCAGCCCATCGAGCTCGGTGAGAAGGGTATTGACGACGCGCGCGGAGGCTTCGGAGAGCGTATCGTCACGGCGCGGCACGAGAGCGTCGAGCTCATCGAAGAAAATGACGCAGGGGACCGAGGAGCGAGCGCGCACGAAGACCTGGCGCACGGCGCGTTCGGATTCACCTACGTATTTATTCAGCAGTTCGGGGCCCTTAACGCTGATGAAATTGGCGCGAGACTCGTTGGCGACTGCTTTGGCGAGGAGGGTCTTTCCGCAGCCTGGCGGGCCCCAAAGTAGGACGCCTGTTGGGGCAGTGATGCCGACGCGGGCGTAGATGTCTGGGTTGCGGATTGGTTCGACAATCGCGGTGGCGAGTTCGTCACGGATGCCGCCTAGGGCGCCGATGTCTGCCCATGTTGTGTCTGGGATGGTGGCGAAGCCTTCGCGCTTGGAGGAGGGTTGAATTTTAGGAAGGGCGGTGAAGAAATCCGTGTTGGAGACAGATATGGTTTGGGATTCGGAGTGAAGAGGGGTTTCTCGGGCGTGTTTGATGAGGCGGCGGAGTTCAAGGATTTTAGGGCTGATCTTCGTACTCTTGTCACCATCAGCGTCATTTGCTGTGTTTTCTATTTCCATTTCGTCGCCTGTATGTGATTTCAGGAGTTCAATGTATCGTTTTATAGCAGCCGCTCCTGCTGTGGAAACGAGGTCGTTTAGGTCAGCACCGACAAATCCAGGAGTTCTCTTTGCCAGGAGTTTGAAGTCCAGATCATCTGCAAGGTTCATATCCTTTGTGAGAGCCCGTAGAATCTGCTCTCTCACAGGCTCGCTGGGAACGGTAAGATTGATCTCCTTGTCAAATCTCCCGCCTCGTCGCAGTGCAGCATCCAGGCTGTCAGGTCGATTCGTAGCTGCTAATACAATCACAGGTTTCCCGTCCGTTTTTTCCAGAGCCAAGTCATCCATGCAAGTAAGTAGCTGCGCAACGATACGTTTTTCCATTTCCCTCTGAGCGCTCTCGCGCTTGGGGGTGATTGCATCGATTTCATCAATAAAGATGAGGCACGGCGCAACTTTCTTTGCCTCATCGAAATGTTCCCGTAGCGCCTTCTCGGATTCTCCAGACATACCCGAAACTATCGACGGCGCGGATATTGCGATAAACGGCACACCTAACTCCGCTGCAAAAGCATTGGCAATCATGGTTTTACCGCAACCAGGCGGGCCGTGAAGTAATACCCCGCGCGGAGGTTGCACCTTCGACGAGGAGTAGACTTGAGGGCGAGTCATGGGTAAAACAATAAGGTCTTCGAGTTCCTGAATTACATCGTCTACTCCGCCTAGGTCCGCCAAATTTACGTGGGTAGGAGGTGACCTGTCAATGCTGCTTTCCGCCTTTCTTCTCTTAGCCTGTGATTCCCCTCCAGCCTGTCGTCTCTTACTTGCCGCAGCGGTGGGGGCTGACGATGCTGAATCAACCTCCGCCATATCCGTTATTTTCTTCGGTATTGTTGGCATCTTTGCTTGTGTGCCCCACATTCCCACGATACTCTTATTCATGCGATTAGAATCCTTGATGCTGTCAGCAATCCCCTCCTATACCGCTCCGGTAGAACTTTTTTTTTTTTAAAGCACAAGGAAGCCTACCAAAATGGCATCCTTCTCTTCAAGTCCTTCGAAATCTCCATTAACCGAATCTGAATCCCCATCACCAAGCACATCTGTTTTGACTACCTCCAGTACCCGTTCGATACTGTCTTCTAGCAATTTTTTCCCTCTCCGATTGAGACTAGAATTTGACCGTTTTATCCGGTCGTAGACAAACGGCAGGGTTAAGCGTACATTTTCCCCTTCCAATTGGAGATCATGGGCAATCTTGCGCACTATTTGGTAAACCTTGTTTGCGACAGGTGAGTCGAATCAGCACTTGCGGGTCACATATATATATATGTATATACAGCTGTTAGGGTGACAAAAAAGGATATTTGGGAGCCTCCCGAACACACCTCCTTGTCAAGACCATGTCCGAGCGTTGGTCTGCTGCCACGATTTCTCGGAGCCATCCTACAAGAACGAGGCGGTCCTCGGTTCTTCCTTCTTATTTTTCTCGCGAAGAGCTCGTCGTCGCCCGCTGAAATGTGCCTATAAAATAAGATCTCGGTAGGGATTTCGATGATTGTGGAAGAATGATAGCCCGGTATCAATGGCTCAGTCACGTGACGTGCATTTTCACACTTCTACGGCTTTCGTCTGGAGAAGCACTTGTATTTTTATTACTTTGAGACAATAAGCATATGAGACTTATCTATATCTATATTGATATTTATATTTTAATTGATTTTGAGCCACATATCGGACAATCTACGATTACTATCACATGATTATAATTGCGTTCTTATCTTATCAATCTGACAGACAAAATGAAAAATACGTCCAATTACACTATTTTTGCCTTGTTTAAGCACGCTATGTATTATGCTCTGTATTAGTATTACCAACAGTATCGCCGTATGAGGTATGTCATCCAACAGGTTGCAGCTTGGGCAACTGACCTCAATCGAACAAGGCCAAAAGATCTTCTTTACCACAGCAAGGAGAATGCTACGACAATGGGTAACACCTCCAGTTCTCATAAAATATCCGCTCAGGATAGGTATGTCATTGCCTTCCCGAACATACACCCGCATTACTCCCTCAATGAACAGGGGCTTCCCCGCAGATTCCAAGCCTCCCAGCACTCCAGATATACAACCCCCTGATCTATGAAGTTAACCTAACCCACCACCCTGCAGAGCAATCCTCGACCTAAAAAACCAACGCGACAAACTCCACCAATACCAAAAGCGCATCACCACTCTGACAGACCGCGAAACCCAAATCGCGCGAGAATGCCTTGCCCGCAACGACCGGCCACGCGCCTTGCTCGCTCTCCGCCGTAAGAAGTATCAACAGTCCCTATTGGCAAAAACAGATGCGCAACTCGATCAACTCGAGCGGTTAACAGGAAGTGTCGAGTTTGCCCTAGTGCAGAAGGATGTGCTCTTTGGGCTGAGTCAGGGGACCAAGGTGCTACAGACCATCCATAAGGAGATGGGGGGCCTGGAAGCGGTGGAGAAGCTGATGGGCGATACAGAGGAGGCCAGAGCGTATCAGGAGGTTTGTTTTTTGTACTTCTTTAATATATATCTGATTTATTCCCTATTTTGTCGGGTGTGGCCCATATTTTGCTAATACATGTGAACTATCACCAGGAAGTCAGCCGCATGTTGGGTGGCCAAATGTCCAACCAAGACGAGGACGAGGTAGAAGACGAGCTCGAGGCGATGGAGCAGGAGATTTCTGGGCCAATCAGTCTTCCGAATGTGCCCACGTCAGCGCTGCCCGAGGAGACAGAGCAGGAAAAGCAAGAGAAAGCCAAACAGCGTGCTAAAGCCAGGGCAAAGGCAAGAGCGGCTGTGCCAATGGAGGCTTAGTTGTTTTTGTTTTTTTTTGCTTTTACTTCGTCTCATTGTTCACTTTTGGTCGTGCATAGCGATTTCACCTAGGCGTCATATGGCATTTATCTACATAGTTCAACCCCTTTTCTGTGACTTTGGGGGTATTTTCTAGATTATTATAGAGCGGCATATGTTTGGGAACATTCTTCATATATTGCTGATGGCTGATAATTTAAATTTAAATTTTTATTTTTAGTATTTGGTTCTTATATGTGCTGAAATGGCTCACAGCTCAGCAGGTTCTATGTGTTCTTCATGTCTGGCATTTCAACCTTATTTTACCCGGAGATGATTCCGCATCATACATAAACAATCACCCATAGGTGATTTGCAGGACATATACATTGCTACACTTCCTCTGCACAAGAAAGAATACAATAACTAGTACTCATAACTGCAAGAAGAGAAGAAGACGTGCCAGATATACATACAATCATATACCACATAACGTCATTAGAAATCACGCAAAAGCCTTCCCTTCAGTCCCACTGACATCCAAAATTCACTGGGATTGAAAGTCCTTATCTCCCAGGCCCAATCGTCCTTCCCACGCCCTGCACGCCCTGAATAGCAACATGATCCCTCGGATTCGCCGCAGCCTCATACAAAAACGTCACGGGCTCCCTATTCAGTGCCATATGCTGCCCCTTAAACCCAATGTACGAAACGCGCGTCACCTCCTCCTCGCCATCGCTCCAGTTGTCCTCGAAGAACAGCGTGATGGACGTCGTGGTGTTGAACTGCGCTCTGTTGAGAGGGATCTCGATCACGTCTGAGGTTGGACCGGTGAGTGTTTGGGGGACAGAGAGGGTTTGGGCTGGGATTAGATCTGCGGCGGTGGAGAAGTCGAGATCTGGTCTGTTGCGGAAGAGTTTTATGGTTTTGGGGGCGGAGGGGGTTGGGGCCGAGTAGAGGATGAGGGAGTGGAGTTTTGTTTGGCCGGTGAAGCTGCGGAGGATGGGGTTAGTTTTGGAATTCATATATACATTCTTGGTTGTGGTTGTTGGCTCGGGGTTCGAGAAAGGATGTATTTCCCCTCGCTGTTCATTCTTTTTTTCCTTTTCTCTTTTCTCTTTTTCTTTTTTTCTTTTTCATATTTTTGGAGAGGGTGGAGGGGTAAAAAAGGTGAAGGTAGGACAGGAAGTCGAACGCACGGGATATACATGAGCAATTGCTCATCGACATCGCTCTCCAGCTCCGGTTTCTCATCTAACCGTTGCGCCCATGTCTTTTTCACGATGGCCGCACCAGATTTGGACTCTGTCTCGTTGAGGGTGATGATACCATCGAAGTCGATTTGCTGGTAGAGATTCGATTGAAGTGCGGGGGTAATGTCGGAGGAATGGTCGTGGTCGTGGTGGTCATCGTGGCCATGACTATGGCCATGATCGTGATCGTGATCGTGATGGGACATTTTGATCTCTAGCTGGAGTATGTGGCATTGGAAGGAAGCGTAAATTATGTTAATGAGCTTTTGTGTTGGCTTCGTTACCGGGTCCAAGGTAGGTTAATTTTTGCAGGGGATGTTTGCTGATGACGTCAGAAATTGCAAATATATTTATTTCCAAATAACCAGTGCAAAGAATTAACTTGGAGGGTATTATATGTACTATCTCGTCCAATTGATTCTCAAAATTCGAAATTCTATTTAAGCTGGGTGGTATATATGTATAGTACACCAAAAAAAAATCATGCTTCCCGACGTTAACGGTCCAATAATAGGCGGCATCCTGATGAAGAAAACTAAGTGTATTTATTATTTATATGCATCACTTTTTAACTTGATAGTATTCCGGTGCATACTCGAGCAGCCAAGACTTCTCGATTTTGGTAATATCTCGAATGAACGTCTTTTGCCCTGTTTCCAGGATTTCATGGAAGATAACCCAGTCAGCTTTGCGGTTCTATATTATCATGTATACTATCAGCCGTCACAAAATCCGTAAATTGCAAACATACATGGACAAGAGCAAGGAATGAAAAAGCAAGAGACATATTGCTACTTACAAACATCAACGAACTAGGGTGGGCATGTAGCGTGATGTCACCACTGATGGGCTTGAAGCTACCATCTGGCTGCATCTTCGCCGCGTGTGCAAAATATCCGGTTGTAAGGCAGCGCTGGATTTGCTCTGGTGGCGCGGGGCTGGATGAAGAGAGACTTTCATCAACCTGAATGCCAAAGCGCTCAAGATATCGCTTGAGTTGCGCACGAATGCTAACAGCCTTTAGCATGGACCTGTAGTTTAGATAGTTATCCCGACACCACTTTGAGTCCTTTTTTCCCTTGGTGACAAACGCTTGGTAAACATTTAAGTAGGTTAAGTGGTCTCCTTCATCCACGGCAAACTTTCGACGAGTGCTCTCGACTGCCTTCTTTTCGTCACTTTTCTCAAACCAGACCGCTCCTTGCAGACTCGTCATCGCAGCAATTGACAGAATTTCACTCAGACAGCCAAAGGATGGCGCACCAAGCAGAACCTTGGCCATCATAGGCTCCACCGCAAGCTCAGCCATTTGAATCCCAAGTGACCGCGTAAGTTTTGCATAGTCATCAACTGCCCCGAGGGAATAGAGCAATTCAAAGCCGCGAACAACGAGCTCAGATGGAGGGGGCGTAAGAAAGCCAAAGCGAACGATATTGTCAATACCCAGAGCCTTGAGCTGCAGAATAACAGGTGCAAGATTGGACCGCTGGATTTCCGGAACCGTGACATCCGGAAGTGATTGGTAAGACTGCTCAGTGTAAAGACGGAAGCATTTTCCTGGTTTGGTCCGTCCAGCACGTCCCGCTCGCTGGGTCGCAGATGCTTTGGAGATAGGCGTTGGCGTCAAGGTCTCTATTCCCGTATTTGGATTGTATGCACGAAGCTTTGCAAATCCGCAATCAATAACATATACAATTCCGTCAATTGTGACGGAAGCTTCTGCGATATTGGTGGATACAATGACTTTTCGAGTCTTTTCAGGGGCAGGTTCAAAGACGTAGAGCTGCTGTTCGGTAGTGAGTCCAGCATAAAGGGGTAATGGAAGCAGACCGGGGGCTTTGGCATGTAACGAATTTGCGCGTTCAGAGATTTGCTGAATTACAGTATCGATTTCCTCCCTTCCCGTAAGGAACACCAAGATGTCCCCGTCCGGTTCCCTGGTGTGGATATCAAATACAGTTTTGATTGCTCTCTCCACATAATCTTCGACTGGTGTTTCAAGAAATAGGCAGTCCACAGGATACATCCTCCCTTCTAATGTGATAACTCTGCCAATAGAGCCACCCAGCTCATCTTCACTTTCAGGGTTGAATTCATCCCCAGCAAAGAAGCGCAGAAATTCTTCTGCCTGTAACGTAGCACTGCTAATCACGATGCGTAATTCAGGTCGCGGTTTTCTAATTTTCTTAAGCACACCGAGCAAGACATCGGTGCTTATAGAGCGTTCATGGGCCTCGTCGACCATGATAACAGAATACCGGGACAATAAAGGGTCGACCAACGCTTCTCGTAATAGTAAACCGTCGGTCAGGAACTTGATCCGCGTTGAGGAAGAAGTTACATCTTCAAAACGTATCGAATAGCCTACATCTTCGCCCACCTTACATCGCATTTCCTCTGCCACCCTAGTTGCTACTGTGGTCGCCGCCACTCGCCGAGGCTGGATATATATAACATATTTCAGCTAACCAAACATCCAGAGAAAAGATATTGGTAAAATAAATTACAAGCTATGGATAAAAACTCACCTGAGTGACAGCAATGATCTTCCCGTCTGAACACCATCCTGCCTGGTCGAGAAATTGGGGCAACTGGGTAGTCTTTCCACTACCTGTTTGGCCCACGACAACAGTCACAGGATATGTTTCTATGAGGTACAGAAGAGATTGCCGGTGGCGAGCTATGGGTAGTAGCGCGGCAGGTTTATACAGCGACGGGATGAACGAAGCCGAGAGATCAAAGTCGGAGGCCATTGAGAAAGCAATTGGATGTCCCAACTCATCTCAACTCAAAGAATTAGCCAGGATATATTCATCAGATCCATGTTTCAGTAACCAGAGCACGGTAGAACCCTTCTATTACACCAAACCTGGAGATATGTATTCAGATGTTGCCCTGTCCTCGTCTCTGTACCTACCACTTTACTCCAGGAGGTGTAACTAGTCAGATAGTTAACTAACGCGGCTTACTTCAGCCGGAAGGATTAATAGTTTTTCCGGATGACGCGGTGTGGTGTGGCTCAGTTATGCGGCTTGGCGGTGACGTAAAAGGAATGGCGTCAGCTGTGGTGGGAAGTCTACGCTAGGCCTGATTAGACTAGCTTATCTCAGCTTGGTTCTACACGTTGTCAGATAAGGTTGGAATCGAGATGGACAGGGAACAGCGACTGCACTGCCTTGCGATTCATATATCTCTAAATGACCAGCTATCTTCTCCCAATTTTTGCACTCTAATAGATATTTTGATCTCAATACCTACAACTACATCATTCAAACAAACACCGTCACCATGTCCGACGGAGAAAAAACTGTAGGTGCTTGCTGTCTCGTGCTTCCCGCGTACAGCCCCACACGCCCTCTATCCAACTGATTTTGACCATAGAACACGCCCCTGAAGGCTTTAGCTTCACAGAGCAATCACCCAGAGTCTCCAACTACAGCTCGACCTCTGGATTTTGACGATGAACCCCAAGAATCCGGTGTGATACCAATGCAGACACCTTCAGCGCCCAACCTATCTTCTACAGGCGGCAACGAAGGTGCCCCGCCAAAACCACCCCGACCACTCAGCCCTATGCAACAGGCCGAAATCAATTTAAAAGAAGCGTTTCCCAGTATCGATGCCAGCGTTATAAAAGCCGTTTTGGTAGCGAGCGATGGGAATGTGGAAAGATCATTCCATGCGCTGCTTGGTATGGAAGCCCGCCCGATGCGGATAGGGGGCTAGAAGTCATAACTCATGTTTTGCTTATTATAGGTATGTCGGACCCTGATGCGCAAGTGGAACTGCCTCCTATGATGCCCCCGCGACCACCCCGGAAGGACTCTCCCACTCAGCGACAGCTCGAGGCCGATGAAATGTATGCGCGCCAGCTTGCGGAGCATTACAGCGGAACGGGCCAGCGCCATCGAGGCCCGAACTCTGCGTGGGATCATGAGCCCCGTTTGCCAAGACCTCACAGGGAGACCGGATTAAAGCCCAATGAGCTCTATGATGATAGAGAACATAACTTTTTTGAGGGTACATTATTGTACATTTTCTAAATATCTACGGCCTAGCTGTGTACCAAGCTAACGAAGAAGCGCCACTGCACCAGATGATTTACCGATAATTAAAGAAAACATTCGCAAGGGATTCTTGGAGACGCAGACAAAGGTTAACACTTGGGTTCAAAGTTTCAAGAAGAAGCTCGAGGGCGAAGATGATGAGGATGAGTATGGAAATACCCCGCCTCGTCCAGCGCAAGGGTATGCTCAAGGATACGGAGAGCCCCAGACTTATCGCACGAGGCGGAGTGGCGAGGCCAGACGGAGTGGTGATCGTGAGCGGTATGATGCCGACCCCCAGGTCCTAGGCGATGATTTCTCTGCGTTGGAGTTGAGAGACACCGAAGGTATGTCCTTTTTACTTTAAAATTTTGTTGCTCAGTTACCGTTCTGCGCAAGTTTTCCCTCTAAACTCCAGAACCTATTTTTAACCTACCACAGCCCAACCACCACGCTCATCACGACCCCTCGCAAACCCCGATCTCTTCAAATCCAGCTCACCATCCCCAGACCGACGAAAAGTCTCTTTCCAAGAGGGTCCTCCGGACGAAATACACGGTGCATATGGCCCCCGCGCTGCGTCTGATAGAAACAGGCAGCCACCGTCCACTGGCGGCAACAACAAGTCCAGCAAATGGCAACCACTCTCCGCAGTTGAGCCTTCACCCGTGGGAGACAACGACCCATTCAGCCTAGGCGATAGCGACGATGAGAGGGAGCTTAGGAGTAATAATAAAGATCTCAAGCCCGATGAGGCTGAGAGGGTGAAGGAGGCTACCGCAGAAGCTATGGCGGGAGATATTGGGGGTGATTCTGCAAAGGCTGGGAGTAACAATGCTAGCAAGCCCGCCGGCGGAACTTAGGCCAGACATAGCTTCGGGTTGCTTATATTTTTAATTTTTTTTTTGGTCGTCATACTTCTTCTTGTTTTCTTGCTGTATACTCCTTTTCCATCTTGTTTTTTACTCTGCATATGTTATGGTATGCTGGGTTACACATTACTTCCACTTCGACTTCTACCTCAAATTGCCTCCTTGCGCCTTACCTGCGGAGCTCGAGTAGTTATTTTCCGTTAACATCTTAGAAGCGACTATGGTTCCTTGTCTATTATTTGGGTCTTAAATTCACCAATTTGATGGGAACGGGGCTGACTATTTTTGTTTCAAATTGATCCTTGCCTGGGCATTTCAATTCTTAATCACTCACCCAAACCCCCCCAATCTTTCTACCCCTGAATCCTCTTCATTTCTCCTCGCATGGCAACACTCAGTGTCACTCGCTCACAAGCACAGTCTCTTTACCTAGTAAATGGCGTGGTCAATTTATCTTTAGGCATGTTTCTTTCTGCTATGTATAGTACGGTACATAACTGCAACATAAGAAATCAAGATCATATCCCCCTTTATCTCCAGATGATTTTCGAAAAGTTCCCTGGCTATCCCAGGCCATGTTCTAAAAATGCCAATTGAATCCAGGGACCATGTCATCAGAATCCACTTCAGCAAAGATTAGTTAGTTTCACTCTTCCTTAAAGCAGGTTGAAAGGTTGGTGAGTATTGGTTTTTTGTATTCCCCAGCTAGTTACACTTCCCACCCTGCAAGAGAGTTTCAAGTACACCGTGTCCGCATGTCCCTCTTCACATACAGCAAGCGGCCAGACGGTATATATACCTAACGTAAACGGACACCGCTCAAGCAGGAAAGGAAAATCAAAAAATCATAACTAGGTAGGTAGGTAGGTACCTATACTCTTAAGTATGACTCAAGGTTTCAAAGGAGGAGTGGAAAAACTGACAAAAACTCCGCACAAAAAAAAAAACCCCGATGAGCTCATATCTGGTATATAGAGATGACAGATGAACACCCCCTCCGCCCTCACCCCCTCTCTCGTTCCCGCACACGAAAACGATTTCCCCATCCCATCTATTAAAACTCCCCCTCAAAAAAAGTACGCGGAAAAGCATAGAAAAAGCATGTTGGCACAAGGGTACCACCTCGTTTTGAAGCCTTGAAGGTCTTTGCGGAACACCATATTTAATAAAAGCATCAAGCGAAACCAGACCAGACAGTAAAAGAGAGAACCGTCAGCAATAAATACCCCCCCCCCCCCCACAAAAAAAAAAAAAAAAACCCAGTTCACATTTCATTCCCCGCCCCCCAAATTCCCATCATTCAGAGCACGAAAGACCAACAACCCCAGCCGCCCACCACCGGAGAGGGAGGGAAGAAAACACACGAATCCAAATCATCCATCATCCATCATCCATATCATATCATATCATATCCCGAGACAGGCACACGGGGTCTGATTTCGAGTAACTAGCACTCATTCGATGCATGTATGTACATGTACATGTACATTGTAACCTAGGTTGGCATTGAATGAACAATTCCCCTTTTACTCCACCGCGGCCGCCGCCCCTGATGTCGTCGCGGCGGCAGCAACTGCCTCTCTGCGCAATTCCTTGATGACAGCCTGCGCAAGACGGGGGTGTGTGTTAGCTCGTTGTATCTTTTGTTGTATCTTTTGTCATTATTTATTTATTTATTTATTTTTTTTAATGTCCATAAGTTGTCTTTAAGGGGGTTGGGGAGAGGGAGGGGTTTTGGGCATATAAAAATGAAAATAGTACGTAGCGTAGGCACCTACAGCGAGAGCTTCAGGATTCACGCCGTTTTCGATTAGGGAAACGCAGAGGGATAGTTCGGTGCGGTCGAGGTGGGTGTTCTGTGACAAGCACTTGGTGAGTATAAATGAAATCAGTTTAAACGGTTTTATTTGAGAGAGGATATATATATATTTATATGTCTGTATTTTTCCTTCCTTTCTTTCTTTCTTTCTTCTAAGAAATAAAATTTATATTTACACGTGGGGACGTTAAGCGTATATATGCCAACATACCAGTATTGTAGAGATTTCATGCAGGATATCAATGACTTCGCGCGCGGCTTGTCGTTTGTCATCTTGTTGTTGTGGTTGGGGGGGCATGGTATCGATGAGAGAGGGATCTTCTTTATTCGGTGCGTGCTTGATTGTTTAATTTTGGTTTCTTTCTGGAGTTTCCTTCCCCTGGTTGCGTTCAATTATTGTACGGAGTACGGAGTACGGAGTACATTATTAACATTTAGGGCTTGAGCGATGAGGTCAGGCTGGTAACGTAACAGGATTAGCGTGTTTCTTCTCCACACCAAGGGTAGAAAATAGCCCAGATATACATAATTGCCAACAATTGCAGTCCCAACGCCAGGGACTAGCTAGATCTTCCAAATATTTCCTCCCAAAGCATATATAGCTGGGGATTGTAGACTACCTACTACATATGTACAGTACATGTATCTAAGTAGGCTAGATATATATACAACCATGCCCCCCACCCTAACAATCCACGACCTCAACTCCCTCACGCAAAGGACCCTCGCCCTCGAAATCCTCTCCCAAATCAACCACATAGAGCGCAAAACCTTCCCCGCCTCCGAAGCCTTCGATTTCTCCGACCAATCCCTCTATCGCCGGAAGCCGAATACTCACATCTTATACGCGACCGCCGCCGCGGATGGCGATACGGCCAGGTCGACCTCCATATCCGTGTCTGTATCCTCAAAAATACTCAAGGAGCGATCACCCGCGCCCACAACCACGACTCCCACACCGCAAACGCAGCCTCCAGCCCCAATAATAGCCTACGCCCTCTACGTACGCCAAAAGAGCACCGCCCTCCTGCACAAGGTCTGCGTGGCAGAACCCTTCCGCGGCCAGGGTGTCGGCCGGCAGCTGCTCACGTATGTGATTGAGCAGTCGCTGTGTCCGCAGCGAGGGGGCGGGAGGGGGTGTGTGGCTGTGCAGCTGTGGGTTGATGAGAAGCGGGCGGTGGCGAGGGCGTTGTATGCGGGCTGTGGGTTTGTGGAGGTGGAAGGGGTGGAGGATTATTATGGGCCTGGGAGGAAGGGGTTGAGGATGGTGTTGGAGTTGGGGCTGGGGATGGAGGGATGACGGGGAGAGGTGAATTTTTATGTCTGTGAAAAAGAGGAGGAAACAGTATTGGAATAGTGGATTGTGGCTAGGGATGGGATGTTGCGGGGTGGGCTTTACAAGGACTCGCTGTGCAGATGTGCAGCTCTACAGCGACCAGCGACCAGTTCCGTAACCTATCGAACTGTACGCATCACACCACCTACCTACCACATTTCGCAACCCGTTCGCAGTGTCGGGAGCCCGATAATGAGGGCATGGGATATCATCAACATGTACTGTACATGTACTGTACAAAGCTGATATCCGTTGCCTCCAATCAGCCCACGCCCACCATCTATAGGTAGCTACTCAGCAGGGTTTTTGGGAAACATACATAGCTCGAAGCGCTGAAGGAATATTCTCTTCCAATAGTAAAAGGGAATTAATTTGCCCGGCAAATATCTCAAGCAGAGCAGCGCTGGATTAATGAGACAAGAAGGAAGAAAGTCGAGGTTTTTTTCCTCTTTTGGAGGGGAAGGGGATGATGTACCGACAGGAGAGGGCCAACATATGGCATGCGTGCACAGTACTTTATCAAACCCATGGCTGTCTTCAAAACGAAGTTGGGGGGGGTGTAATTGTATTTGAGATTGACGAGAGAGATACGATAATAAAAGAGGGTTTTGAGTATCTATACTAACAACATCAAAATTCTTTTCCGTGTGATATCAGTACGAAGCCACAGCTTTACCACAGGTTACACGTCACCGCGTAAGTGCTAGTAAATAGGTTGGGGTGGCACGTGACTAGGGTAGGTGTAGTAATGGCCTATAAATTCCAGACTATAAGACAGTTATATTATTATTATTATTATTATTATTCTTCCCGGAGCTTATGATGAGTCCTTGCGTGATGTTAAATATGTCAGGTCACGTGATCTGGCTTACTAATCCTTCCACCATATAACTTTTCACAAGCTAGCAATCTTTCAATCACACAAGCTTTACACCTTTCACAGGTTATGAGACCTGTTTTGTGCAAAATTGCAGCCAATTTGAGATTCCTTGTCAATATAATCATTATTTTAACTACTGCTTCATTTGATACACTCATCAGAAGTTAAAATTATCTTACTCTATCAGTTATTGAGGTCTTATTAATCAATAATACTACTACTCACTTAAAAAAAAAAAAAAAAGAGGCTTGCAGAAAATGCATTACATTGTAAAAAAGTAAGAAAAAGTAAATAATATTAACAAGAATTCAATAAATGAATATTAAGAATTCAATAAATGAATATCAAGATGATAGATTCAATACAATCTCACTTATATACATATTTATAATCTTGTATTCTTTTCACTGAGTCAGTTGCAGTTAATGATAATAATTCTTCATACTTCTGCTCTGTCAGTGAACATTCTTCTGAAGCCTTTGAAAGCTTCATTAATAAACACTCTGAAACACTCTCTCAATTCAAAGCTGATTTAAATACAGCTTCTGATATGATCAGACCGGCTCTCTGATCTACTTAATAGCTTAATACTGATTCTTATAAAGTCAACTGTTCAGATAAGATAATATCAGATTAACAGATAAAACATCTTAAAATAATATTTAAGATGAAGAAGAAGAGATGTAGAGTTCTAGAACTTAAACTACAACTGAAAAAACTCTGTTAATAGAGATTCTCATTCTCTATAGATTAATCACAGAATGTTAATAATTATTCTGCTATTATCTTAACAGTCTGTACAGTTATATGAGATTCTAATCTCAGTGAAAGATTGAAATTCAATCTTTATAAACTGAATAGCTATGTTGACAAGACAATCTCTCAATTCAAGAAAGATGTCAAGAATACTGTGAGACTAAACAGTTTAACTGACACATTTAATTACATCACATAAAGTATCTTCATGAAATCAAAACTGGTTGATGCACAGTGTTAATATATAATAGAGAAATGACAGACTCAGAACTCTCTATAAAGAGATAATAAATAAGTATTATTCTGAAACATCAGAAACTGATGACTCTACATATTTATCTTGAACTTCTTAAGTGCAGAAGTCAGATTATGTTTCTTCAAATATAATGAAAATCAGATTGCTTATACTCTATGAAATGTAATTGAATAGAAATACTCTGTTCTTAAAATACAGTTACACTATAAGATAGTTCTGAAATTCATATCTCTTGATAATACACAGATCATCAATCTACACACATTCTTTAATAAGTTTCAGTTCATTATTATGAAATTGAAGATGATGAATACTTCTCTCTCAGATGCATGAATATTTAATATCTTTTACTCAGTTCTACTTAACAATTGAAGGAATTATATTCAGAAGAAGATTAAGAAGACACAGAATTTCAAATTCACAGCTGTGATATTGAATATTGATCTTCTTATGAAGAAGATTCACTCACAGCTTAATTCTTCAAAAGATAAAAAGAATTCACAGAATACAGATTCTGTGACTAACTCAGCTATAATAGCTATAATAACTACAATGATCACTACATCTATTAATTCTAACAACAATACATTGAATTCAGTCTATGAAGACTGTAATGAATGTGATCATAGTAATACTCAAGAGAGCTTCTGAAATTATCAGAGATTGAGCAATTCATCTATATATTCTGAATGTGAGAGATCTTACTTTAATATCTATTAATTAATCAATTCAGACAGTACTCTGAATAATTAAAGAATATACAATGCTGTGAGAATAAAGAAATTCAAGAAAAAGAAGAAAAAGAATAATAGTGAGAATAGAACTTAACTATTTATTACAGATGAATCAGAGATCTATCAGATAACAAATCTTACAGAGATAATCAATATATGAGCCTGTTTTATAAAATCTCATAAGAATTTCCTCACTATATGAAATAGTGACGCCGAATGTCACATAGTAAGTGATAGATTACAATTTTCAGAACTTATAGCAATCAATGATTTAACAGTTTAAGTGATTAACAAGGTCATTCTGAAGATTCAGAGTGTCAGCACTGTATTCATCTCAGTGAGTGAAAGATTGATAGAATTCAATCATATATACTATATATCAGAACTATCTGCAAATCTGATCTCTGCTGAGCTTATAAAATGTCAGAGCTATATTTACTGTGATATACAAGTTAATGCTGAGAACTACTTTAAGTTTCTATCATCTATTAACAGTGATATCTTCTATATTAATCTATTTCATAATAACATTTACATTCTATCTGACAGCTCACTGACATTTCATGAAATAATGAATAATCTGATGTATGAAGCAGTGACATATATAACTGTTTTAAAATCAAAGACAATCTCAACAGATTACAATCTGAATGCTGAGTCTTTGAGACTATTCAGTTATAAGAAGGTTGAACAGTTAATCAACTCTAAGAATTCAGATACTGATTTCTTTATCATCTCATCTTCATCTCAATTATCTGCAGTTCTTTCAAAACAGCTTTTAATAGATGACTGACATCATCAACTTGATCATATCAGTGAAAATAGTATATTAAAAATGACTAGAGACTTACAATTTAATATTATTATTATCAGTCTGAAGAAATTATCATTCTGTGTCACATATGTTAAGACTAAACAGAAACATGCTTTCTACAAGAATTTCACACCATGTTATATCACTCACAAGGCCTTGAAGAGTTGAGTGAATATATTCAGTGATGATGAGAGTCATGAGACTCTTGAGACTGAAAATAATATATTATCTTATACTGATAAGAAGCTTGCAATGATGATTACAGATAATGTCATCTGAATGAGATGAATATTTCTATTGAAATGCAAGAATGAGACATTGAGATATCTACAGATCTTTAATCAATTCATCAAGAATCTGCTGAGATATAGTATTACAATTATTCACTCAGACTGTGAAGAATTGAATTTGAATACAGTCACAGCATATATACTCAGTGAAGAAATAAAGTGAGAGCTGACTTCTTCTCATACTTTACAGCAAGATAAAGTATCTGAATAATTAATCAGTTTGATTATTGAGAAGTTCTGATCACTATTAATAGACTCTTCAGCTCTGAAAAAGATATGAAGTGAGACAGTTATTACAGTCACAGAGCTAGACTGACCAGTAGAACCATGAATTTCACATTTGATTTCATTTGATCTGGTCTCATACATTTCTTGACATGAGTCTCACCAGAACCAAGCCTCAAAAAAATCTGAAAATGAACCATTTCTGAGAGAAATAGCATGAAAAATAACCAGATTTAATTCAAGAACAGTGAAATGAGAGTAATTTCTCAGAATAAACTGTGAAAGATGATCATTCTTTCAAAATCAGAATGAGACTGAGACTGAAGATTAAATCAGTCTCATTCAGTTCATTCAGTGATTGCTTATATAATCAGAATTTGGTAATAATTATTAATAACACTTATGAAACAACTAAATACATTCTTGTACAAGTTTATTCTTCACTTTCTCATGAAAACTACACTTCTCTGATATACTGTAATCAGAGGTATTAAACTGTCTGATAATTCTATATTTTATAATTATGAGTTTCTTAATAGTTTCTTCTTATAATTGTTCTCAGTGATAGTGATAAATATCTTAACTTGAGTTGAACTTTCACTTCATTCTCATCTCTGTCAATGAAATTGTCAGAATATCATGTATTATTAGTGTAATAGTTGAATATATACTCTTAACAATTTTCTATAACTCTAGAATTGATTTAATGTGTAAATTTATCAGATCATCTTAAAGATAGCAGTCAAATTCAGTTTTGTAAATATATAGTTTTGCCTGATTTTCAGTTGCAATCAATGTATGTAAGTTCTATTTCAAAGTTAGTATTATAGTTCTATGTGATATGAAGTGTTATCAAAGATCATTACTTACTAGAGAATTGTATTTTACTGTCTTCACATCTCAAACATCTACTTATTCAAATCTCTGATAGTTAACATTGTAGTAGTCTCAGATTAATTTAATATACAAGTCTTATTTCTTCTCTATTCAATCTTGAGAAGTGTAGATATTAACTCAATAGAAGAGATCTAGTAGAGCTACTATAGCATAGTACTCTGTAAAAGATTGTTCAGTTTTACTGTAGTAATATATCAGTTTATTTCTTACAGTAATAATAGCCTGTGCTATAGCATTATTTCAGACTGAATTTCTTTTTAAGTGATTCAACTGCTTCTCAAGATGAGTAAATAAACTATTATACACTCACTAGACTGACTACAGTATTAATGTATAAGTGATTGAGACTGTCTTTATTATCTTATAAAACTGAAACAGTAAATCAATTACATATTTCAACTGAGTATATTTTATATTAGAAAGTTTCAATATCTGAATCTTTTTCTGATCAGAGTGTTATACTCAATAATTAATTATCTAACACAATCAAAGAGCTTAAATAGTTATCTTATATATTAAACTTCACTGTATTCTAACATTCTGTATCATATTCAGTGATGTGACTGATTTATTTATTTATTAAATATAATGAAATTATTGTTATTGTTTAGAGAAGATACAAATCATATTAACAATGTTTCAAATCTATGATATTTAAATTATTAGTCAATCTATTCAAAATTAACAGTAGTGTTATTAAAAAGTATTATTAAAAAGTAATATTAAAAAGTATTGTCAAAAAACATTATCTTTTATAAAGTAAATGTAAAAGTTACTTAAGTAATTACTTTTATCTTATTCTCATCTCAAGAATTAATCATCTCATTATTCTTTATCTTGATGTTAAGATTCTTTATC